GATGCTAAAGAAATAGCAAATATAATGAAGGAACTATTCATTGAATATAAACTCAACTCTAACTAGTTGCTTAATGTTATGATGGAGCCAATGAGTGGAGAAAAGGAAGGTGTTCAAGCATATCTTAGCAAAGTAGCGGGGCATCACGTTCCTTACATTAATTGTTGTTTTAATCATAGATTGCATTTAGTTTTAAAAAACAGTTTAGAAATTCGAAATTTTTTCCCACTTACATAATTTTTCTCCAAGATGCCATTGTATTAATAAGTGAATGTGATCCATGCCAAGACTAATGCCCCACCGGTAGCCAGGACACTATGATATGACAAATTTATTTATATAAATTATATGATTATTATAATACTCTGTTCAAAACTAAAAAGAGTTGCGGAAAGATATCTTGTCCTCGAATAGCAGAGGCTTGTGGGCTCTTGAACTAAAAATAATTTTTACCCTATTAAAACCTATTAATGATATGGCTCAATCAAAAAATATTTATTTTTCTAAAACATTTGATATTGTCAAGAACTCTAATTTTTTGAAATATTAAATAAATGTGAAAATATTTATAAAGAGATTTTATTTAAAAATATATGTGTTGAGAAAAGGATCCTAAGAAAAGATTTTTCCATTTTTTCAGTTGAAACTAATTATCAATTTGAAAAAATTTAAATCTAGAAGAGTATTTACTTTAATATTTTAGATTTTTAATTGAGTTTATGGAAAAGAGGTTTATGGTAGATGATATTTATTTAGAAAGTATTGATGCTTTGTATTCTTTTGATACTCCATATTTTCTAGACATAAATAAATTAAAACCTTTATTAGAAACTTGCAATATTATTGAAGATCGTTAAATGAAATTGAGGTTGTTCAAAAATTATTTGTAAAAAGTTTAGAAAATTATAAAGATTGTGTTATATCAGATTTTGTCAAATTTCTATACCTATATTAAAATGCATTTCCAAATGTTTTTTAAATATTCTTTATGAGTTTATTATTTGGATCATCCACATCGAGTTGTGAGTCAACTTTTTCATCATTGAAGGGAATTAACATCAGATAGACTTTCGAGTACTGATATAAGTGAATAATATTCTTAATTACATATATTTTATATTGAAAGCATAACAAATATTTTACAAGCACAATTAATCAACTTATTTCTTTTCAACTTTAAGTCAATTGTCATCTTCCATCTAATTTTATGAACAAATTAGATCATAATAACAATTTGTGTGATATTTTTTAAATGAAAGCGTATTTTTTAATTTTGTGTTCAAATAACTGTAATATTCGTTCTAAAATTTTAAAAAAATTTATTACCCCCCCCCCCCCTTTCCCATAAATTGATTAAGCTAGAATCGGGCCTAGACTGAATAATAAATTAATTTATCGCGATGAAGACACTCTATCATAACCAAAATAAAATATAATCTCAAAAATGTATGACATTCAAACGTTCGGTCTCTATTGTATTTCTCATAGTGGTTTTCTTCAATAGACACCTCTACAACTGTTTGTTTCGCAATATTTCCATACTCCTTTTTTACTCTAATAAGTTAAAGTGAAGGCTATGAATGTCATATATATTTTTGGGATCATATTTTATTTTGCTTATTTATAGGATGTCTATCATAACAATAAATTAATTTATTATTTAGTCTGGGAGGGGGGGAGGGAGAATTAATTTTTTGAGAGGCAGTTAAGATTTTTTTAACACCACAGAACGAATATTTAAGTTATTAGAACACAAAATTGAAATATATAATGATTTTATGTGAAAAATACCATATAAAAATAAATAATGATCAAAATTTAAAAATTAGATGGAAGATGAGTTGATTTATAGCTGAAAATAAATAAGCTGATTTAATGATTTTACAAATATTATATAATAACATAGATATAGTTTAATAGTGCTTGTATAATTTGTTAGGGATTCAATTATAAAAAATATGTAATTAAAAAAATATTTATATCTATATTACAATTGATATTGATATGTAATTGAGTAGTGTAAAACTAATACATATAAAGCATTAACAATATAACTTTAGTTGAGATGTATTTTTAAACGCTTTAATATATTTATGTAGTTAGTTTCAGTATGTTTTATTCATGTCCTAATAAGTAATTTTTTTTGTTGTTATTTATTAATTTTTGATAAAAAGTTTTAAATTATCAAGATACGTGGAGTTGCAGTATAATAATGGCTGCTGTGGTAATATTTCTGATCAGGCGAGGAAGTTTATACTTAGGGGGGGGGGTGCCGGATTAGAAGCATTAGAATTCGAGGAAAGACGTTAACAATTGAGGGGAATAATGGTGAAGAAGACAGGTTTGGTAAAGTAACCTGATTACTTATGCAGGAATTGATGAACATGTGGGCGGAGTAATGAGGATTCAGGAATGAACGAGAACAGGAGCAGAAGTGAGGATTGGAGATTGGCGGTTTGCAGAGACAATAGAGATTCGGCAGGATGGTTAGGTGCAGAGGTGCCGAGGAATAGAAACGTAGTATGTTATAAATGTGGGGTAAGGTTACCCGTTGTTTTATCGTTTTAAAAACATTTTAACCAGCTTCCCCAATGTTAATTTATTTCAGTGCAACTATTTCTTTATTTAAATTTCGTTGATTAAAATTTTTGCAAAATTATCTTGCAACTTTTTAAATATAACTTTCGGGTTACTTTAAAAAATGTAACTTTTTACCCTTTTAAGGATGTAACTTGCAAATAGTTACTTTTCAAAAGTAATTTTTAACAATACTAGGTAGAATGTTAGATAACAAACCTCATCGTTTTATTTTAACCTGCAACAGGGTTTAATGAAAATCTCCAAATAAGAATTTGAAGTTTTTTTCATGAAAGATTTCGAATATTGGGAATAAGAAAATCCCTTATAGCTAATTTCGCGCTACTTTTTTTTATAATTATAATTTATTATTTAATTTATATTTTCAATTTGTATTATAAACCTAAATCACCTGGAGTAAATTATTTAATTTCCAAATCGATGTAAGTGAGTCAGATAATTATGATATTCATGAAATGGAAGGTACCCTGGAAGAAGATGTTCTTAATAACAATAATACAAATTTTCCATTTCCAAAATTTGGAAATATTCTTAAATTAATGTAAAAACAAAAGGTGGCTACAAATTTATTTGTTCAAACTGTAAAAAAATATATACTCAAATAAATCTAGTAGCTACCTCAAAAAACACCAAAAGGTAATTGTCATTTTTAAATTCTATTACTATTTATATTTTGTAAGAATGTTTATGCTAACAGTTTTAAAGAGATAGAAAAACCCTTAATAATTTTGGTTTAGGGGAGACTACATTCAAAAAGACCAATTCAATTCATACTAAATCGATTAATAATATTGCACATGCCAATATTTCTCAGAAACTGGCTGATAAAGTTATTGTCGATTTTATAATTGATACAGATCAGCCAATGTCATTGGTTGATAACCATCATCTACCATGATGATTAAACTCTATCCCTGGTACAACAATTTTTTGTCGCCACACATTAATGATTGAGATAGCAAACAAAGATGCCCTAGTTAGAACCATAAAAAAGACTTTCATTGATAATTGTTTTGAAATAAAAGATACTAATATAATAAAAAAATCCCCTAGAAGCATTTTTTAAATCTAAAAATACAAACAAATATTTTTGATACTTTTTCTTATATTAAAAATATGCATATAAAATTAAATACTGCCTTGCGCTCAAGTGTTTTGTGTTGAGAGATTATTTATTAAGGCGAAACTTATACTTTCTGATCGTCGCGCTAGATTTGGGGATGTTAGTATACAAATGATTTTACTATTAAAATGCCTAAATATAAATAAAAAATGAATATTACCCTAAATAGTTATTTTTATAACATAAATTACGGTCTTTTTGCATAATTTTTTATAATCAAAACTAACTATATTTAAATATTTATAAATGTTGATTTTTATGTATTATATATTATGCAATTACATAAAATAAAACAAATATATTTCTAAATTTTTTTTATAAAAAGTAGCTTTTTTAAAAGTAGGGTTTAACAACTCTGGTATTTATTATATTTGGTCCATAATAATGATAATTCATCTGATTCACAAATTTTCAGAATCAGATAACTAATTTATAAATAATATTTAAATTAATAAACTATACTATACGACAAAAATAGTGACTGGTTAAAAAATTCAAATGTGATAAGAGCTGATTATAAAACAACTCTTTTTATTTTTCTATTTTCAAATGAATAAAAATAAAATTTTCTAAAATTGAACGAACGTAAAAACGAACGCGTTCGTCGAAAAAATAGGAACATGTTCAGGTTCAAAGTTCGTCAAAAATAAGAGGAATTCATCATTTTTTTCAAGAAAACAAATTTCGTTTATAACATTACAAAATCCTGACCTATATATAGTCACAGATCATCTTACACTTGTCATTATTTTAAAATTTATTTAAAATAGATATAATTATTCGAATGTTGAAGCCAAGAAAAAATTATAGATTTCTTTTAGAAATTTTTTTCCACAAAGTAAAATTTGAATAGTTAATCAAATTTAAATTAGTTACAGGGAGGGATGTATAGGTAATGATTATGGCTATAAATATTTTTAATTTATATCAATTTCAAAATCATGTTTCAATATTTAATAAGATATTTTATGGAATAGAGATAAATTTAAATATATATAAAGATATAGGCGTATTAATAATTTAAGGAAAATGAAAATAAGAGATAATTAGTTTCTCTTTTCTAAAATATTTAATTTAATTTTATTAAATTAATATTCATATGATGCTATAATAGTAAAACAAGGTAATTGATTTTTAAGTATTATTTCAGACATAAACGAGATTTCAAAAAATATTTTTATGATCACATATATAACACAGTTTATGATCACATATATAACACATAAGAGGGTTTTTATACCTTTTAAACACTAAAATTTGTAAAATTTAAAAAGGAAACTTGTTTGAATGTCAGCTGAATAGCTTGATATTTTCTCTGTTCCAAAATTTGCATTAATTCACTTATGGATTCATGACCTCGATCTAATTCTTCTTTCCTAGCATATTATTGTTTTTAAAAAAATTTTAGATAAAACTTAAAAATTAATTTTTTTAAAATGATCAGTTATATTTAAACTTGCCAAACCTCCTGATTTTTTACTCTCACCTAAGCGTAGCCTTAGATTTTATAAAATTTTTAATTACCATATGTGTGATTCTCAGTGGTGATCTGCATTGGGCCTAATTTTTCAAGCCCGGCCCGAAATTTTTTAAGTTTTGCCGGCCTGGCCCTAACCCGAAATTTTTTTAAAATAATTTACCCACCCGGCCTGGCCCGAATTTATTTAAATATAGAAATTAATTTTTATAATTACTCAAAATAAAAGACCATAAAAAATTGATAAATTTAGATATATTTAAAAAAATTTCCAAGGTCCGACCCGACCTGGACCAAATTTTTTTTAAAAATATTAGGCCCGGCCCGATTAATTTAAATAGAATTAGCGGGCCGGGCCTAACTTTGCAGATCTCTAGTTCTCAGTCTTCTCTCCATTCTTTCGAGAACATTTCCCCCTTTAAACACCGTCATGTTTTATTTTAATTCATTCATATACTCAAAAATAATTTGAATATTATTCACGATTAATAATATAAAAATTTCATTTATGAAGGAAAATATTCGTGCCTAAAGGGTATCTTATATAATATTCATTTTCCCATCAACATCAGAAGTTTAACGCAAATCCATTCTTTACAATATTATTCGAGAATTTGACATTTATATGACTTAATTTACCCGTTACGTCCAAAAAATAAATCTTAAAGTTTTATAACGATTATTTATTTTCTATTCTATCAATTAAAACCATATACAGATTTAGATCAAAATTGGAAACTATTTTTTTAAGATAATTTATGGAAAAAATACACCCCTTTAAAATGAATCTGGCAACTTTGGTAAATAAAAATTATCAAATGGTCAAACATAAATAGGCAATCCAATATCCAGTGGCGTAGCTACGGGGGTGGTTTTCGGGTTTGGACCCCTCCCTGTGCAAAAATTTTTTTGAGATTATACGTTCAAAAGACTTAAAAGTGATTTTATATGAATTATATTTTTCTGGTTTTGATGTTTGTGGAAGGATATTACATTACTATTGAAATTATTCTGGATAGTATTATTATAAAGTCATTGAGAATAATCTACTAAATTATATAACATATTATTGATGCATTTAAAAAATATATTTATTATATATTATCGAAGATAAGGTTATGATATGTAAGATAAACCAGGCCGAAGGCCGAGCAAAAGGGCCGAAGGCCCGTTAAAGGGAGTCTGGGGGGCGAAGTCCCTTAGCTTTTATATGTATGGACCCCCTCTAAGGAAAATTCCTAGCTATGTCACTGCCAATATCATATTTTATACAACTTCGTTAAAATAAATTCTTCTATCATTTAGATTTTAAAAAAGGTTAGCTATAAATGATATAATTCTCATTAAAAATGCCCACCTGAATATTTTATACTAAAAAGGTTTTCACGTAATATAAGTCTTTAGACGATATCTAACATTTTTTGCCTACATGCTTTTACGAATTTATAATGCCAATATACATATAAATTAGAAATTATAAAGGACTGAGAAATTTTTTAAATATTTTTTAGTTTTTAAAAATAATATTCCTATAGTATTTATTTCAAAAACCTTTAAAAAAACTAATGAACTTAAATAATTTGAATCAGTTGCAATTAAAAAAAGTATATTACTAATAGAAGTTTTATTATAATATTTAAAAAAAAATAATAAAACCTATTTATCAATTTTTCTTTCTGGTCAGAAAAACTTACGAATTGATCTAAAGCCTTTTTATTGACGTGGCTGTATTTCTTGAGATCACGATTGACTTGCTCAAGTTTTTTGAAAAGCTAAATGAATAATATTTTTAAACAAAAATTTATAATAATAAAAAAAGACATAAATTTATGTTATAAAGGGAGGAAAATAGAAAAATTATGCCGAAAAAAAGAAGAACGTTATAAACAGGTTTAAAACTATATTTCCTATCCCTTATAACATACTGAACTAAGGGTCAAACTGGCTATTAATATATAATATAAATAAAACTATTATATATATTATGGCCTTCGCTAGAAAGTGGGTGCCTAAATTTAAGTTGAGAAGGCTGTAGGCTGCATATATAGAAAGCGCGATATCTCTACACATAGCTATATAATTCACTTAATTTAAAACATCTCATATCATCGGATAACGATTTCGCGCTTACTCTAAACCTATATCAAAATTTATAATTTTATGTAATGTTCTAGAAAGGATGTTTATTAAAAAAAAGTTACATTTAAACATAGAGTAAAAGAATAATTCTTTGATTAAAAAATTTAAATTTTGGAAATAATATATATAATTTTATAAACTTGTTTGAGCGTCAGGTCGCGATATTTATCAAAAGCGTCTGAAGGAAGGGTGCCTAATGATAAGCGAAAAATAGAAAATATATACTTATTAATATAGTTTTTTTTTAAAAAAAACACCTATTTTACTACGTTTAACAAGTAAATCAAGTCAACAAGTTTTTGCCCAAATCAAATAAACGCTCATCGTGGTCTAGAATTGGAATGCCCATCGAAATTTTCAAAATTCTTGAGTTAAAGTGGATTATTTATTCCAAATACATATAAAAATAAAAACTGAATTAAAAAATATTAATTTTTGTCGCTCTGTCAATTTTGCGCTATTTGCATACAACGATGTGATTTTTGCTTCATATGCATGACCTATCCTATTAACTTATTTAATCATGTGTTATATTTCCCTTCTTTTTTAATTTTTGCTTTCCATATTGATCGTAAAATATATTTTCATTCCCTATCTATTCCCAAATTATTTTAATGTCAAGGTAAATTTTTATTATTTTATAAGATTCTTAATATAGTTTTTTTCATGTGTGATCTGTAAATAAAGATATTAAAATTGAATTTAAATTGTACGTAATAAAAAAAATTGATAAAAATTTAATTTTTATATCTTTATTTAATGAGCAAGTAATGCTAGATAAAAAAAATTGATAATTGTTCTTAGAAATGGGTGAGACCTATATTAATAATAAAGATGCTATAAAAAGAGCAAGGATTGTTCATAATGATTCGAATAAATGTATATTTCAGTGTCACAAAAAAGCTAATGAAGATCAGAGTAAAATTTTTCATGAGGCTTTTTGGAGCTTAGCTGATAAAGCTAAGGGTTCTTTCTATAGTAAATTTTAGAGGCGCCGATCCACATATTTTTCACCAATCTGATATTGGTACAAACCCGATCCGATATTTATATTGATTTTTCACCACCCCCCTTTGAAGCAAATGTAATTAAGAAATCAATATTTTTTATGCAAAAGATCGAATTATGCATTTAATTTAATTTTTTTTACTACAATAATTAAAAAATGTTTACGGATATTGGTGGTATAAAATGAATTTTCCATTATTCCTCCCCGTGAAATTAGAATTCCGCAAAATTATTTGTCCTTTGTAAAATATTTCCATAATTCAGATACCATATTTAAAAAATTCTTTTATTTAAAGTATAAATAATAAAATTGGCGTTAAAGATTTAAAATAAATAAAACTTTGGGTGTTCCTTTCTATTTTTATAAAAAAAAACTTTTAAAATGCTATAAATCTATTTTAAAAAAAAATAAAATTTAAGGGGTGTTGTGCATTTGATTGTTTGAAAAAAAATTATTTAGAAAATATTATAATGTAAAATAAATATACATAAAATAAAAAAAAAGTAAAAAAATCGGTACAGGTATCGGCCTGATCCGATATTTAATATCGGCCCAGCCCTAGTAAATTTATTGTTCGAACTCATGTATGATAAGAACAAAAAAATTTAAAATTATAAAAACTATTCATATTTATATTTATTCGAAGTGGAGAATGTTAAAGTTAGAGTTTGCAAATAATTTTTTTACAAACACATGTAAATAACTTATTAGTTTTTATTTAAAAATTCATACCAAAAATACTGGAACTGATTTGACTCATAAAAATGGTAAAAATGTTGGAGATAAAAATTTCATCATTCAAAACATAAACACCATTCCAAGAGTCTATTCATATTAGAGGCAAAAAGATCCTTCAAGGGGGAACTTTGAGGGAGGCCTCAATTATAAAATAGTTTATGATTTATATTCTAAAAAATGTGATAAATTATCATGAATTTCTGTTAAAGATCATTGCTACATGAATAAATTATAAAAATAAAGATATAGTGTTAATTTCGATAATTTGAAGTTATTATTTTGAATTTATTTATATGGAACATTTTGAACATAAAAAAATAATCATAAAATATTTGCTTCACTTGCATTTTAATTTTATCAAATAATTTAAAATTTTTGAGCAAAAATCTTTTAGGCTATAATTAATTAGCAATATGATAAATTATCTCTGAAATATTTTAATTAAATTGATCAATAAGTTTTTCCTATATTTGATTTTAATGTTGATTTTTTTATTTTAAACATTTGCACAAGTGGAGAACTCCAATTCTAGACCAACAATAATAAAATATAATAAGAAGATAACTTTAAAGGAACCATACATTATAATGCGCTTATAACATTTCGCAAGGGGGGAACAGAAATTAATTAATAAAAGCAGGAAACATGGTAAACTATAAGATTTCTAGGACAATAAATTAAAGGCAGATGGAAAACGTTTTGTATTTATTTTCATTGTTTTTTTAAATTAACGTAATCTTTATTGGACTAATATTGAATGTGTATATAGTTCAAATACCTCGATTCAATGTTTCGGTATTAACGTTTTACTGCTTAGAAATTTCGGGTGTTAAAAATCTTATACAAGTAAAAATTTTCCAGTTTAAAGAAAATCAAGGTTTTAACTGTAAGTCTAAAATGCTAATACAAGTGGTTAAAAATTATGGGCAAAATTTTTTCTACACCAATATTGAGTTACATTTTTTAATATTTCCTAATATTATTTCTCTCCTTTAATTTATCACTTCTTTTCCTTGTTTTTGATATACACAAAAGAGTGGGATTAAGTATTGTACCTAGTTCCCTGATTTTGGTGATACACTCTTCCTTCTTTTTCAAGAGTAGACTTTGTTTGTTGCTCATTTTTTCGAGATCTTTAGCGTCGTCATTAATCCTGTCCTGAAATTCCTTCTCTTTGCTCTACAATTATGTGGACACATAACAAAAAAATTTATTCACACAATTTGCAAAAAATAAGATAAAGTTCCTATATTATAACTAGTAGAAACTCTTTATAAATAGTTTTTAAATTACTATCTATTTATACATAAACGTATAATTGACAACATATATAAAAAATTGCACCCAATTCCGCTGGTAGGATTTGTGCTGATGATATTAAATAATGTAAAATAACTGAGCTTATAAATAAATATTTTTCTAATAAAATATTAAGATTGCGAAATGACCTTGGCATTTTCATATTCGGAAGCCAGCTCCCGCTGCACGAAGGCCAGATTATCATTTGACTTTTCCAACTCGGTGCTCCTTTCCGTGATTTCTTTGATTTTATCAGTCAAATGTTCACATTCCTGGTTGAGCTCGCAAAGTTTGAAATTTCTTTCCTCCCAACTGATTTCGTTCATGGCGTTGATCAATTCGTCTTTACGTCTCATCAGATTATTGGTCAGATTGCTTTCGATCTTGTTCTTTTCGGCTTCAAACTGGGATGATTGATTGATGAACGAGTAACAGTTAAAATAATGATTTTAAAAAATTGAACAATGATCATGATCCTCACTTCCCCCCTCCCCATCTAATGAAAGACGAAAAACTTATGAAAATGTGTTGTGTCGAGTTGACAGTAGAAAATTGGAGCCAAGTTTGGTCATAAAAATAGACTCAAAACTGAGTTGAGTTATGAACTCAGTTTTTAAACTCGAGTTGACTAGAGGACGAGTATTCAAATTAGTTATTAATTAACAAAATATTTGTTCAATTCTTCAATATTTTTTTACTTTAGACTTCCAATTTAAGTCGTGAATACTAGTTATATGCTTGAGTCGACTAGAGGACGAGTATTTCAAATAGTGTATATTAATATTTTTATTAACAAAACATTTATTCTGTTCTTTTTCAATATTTTTTTTTACTTTTGACTTCCAACTTGAGTCGTGAATACGAGTTATTTAAATTACTATTGTAGAATTATTTACCAAACAACATTTGTTATGTTCTTATTCGATATTTTTACTTTAGACTACCTCGAGGCGTCAATACGGACTCAATAATGAATATAAATCAAAATCGATTTTTACCAATTGTTCATATGTTTTGTTAAATAATAGTGATTATACTTTTCGGTCAAAATTTTATATTAACATTTTTTTATATATCATTTTAATGTGACATTTTTTTTATTCACTTTGTATTTAAATTTAATCGGTGAAAATTTTATATTAACATTTTTTTATATATCATTTTAATGTGACATTTTTTTTATTCACTTTGAATTTAAATTTAATCGGTGAAAATTTTATATTAACATTTATTTTATATCATTTTAACGTTGCATTTTTTTTTAATACCAATTTGTATTTCACACATAGTTATTTTTTTATTGTTTAAAAAAATATATATAAAGAGAAATTGTTTTTGTTGAAAGGGATAATAAAAAATGTAATTTATCATTTAAAATAAAATGTAAATTATGATTAAAAATAAAATAAAATGTAATTATGATCAAAATAAAATATGAACGAGGATTTAACACAATTCCTACAGCTTTTATAATCTTTATTAAGGCTTTTATCAGAATTGAGAATAAACATTATAATCTAATTTACCCATATACTTTATCTCAACAAGTTGTCTATTGTAAAAATGGTGGGAGGTAAAGATATTTTTATTTGTAGTTCTGACATATTTTTTTTACTTTGATGGAAATGACAGGAAAATGATTTCAAAGCTATCAAGATTAATTAGAAAAATATTTACATTTTCAGGAACTAATGCTTCTTTTCTAAGAGGATTTAGCATTGATAGAAGGTTTTGGGAGAAAAGAATGCTTGAATCGAAAAAGTGGATTGTTATTCTTACATTATAATTTATAAATAACATCAAAATAAATAGATTTTATATTATTAACAATTAACTTATTTCACATTTTATTTGATCAAAAAAATTCCTTTAATTGAATACTGTATTCTTAAATAATAAAATATTTAGAAGGTATCTGAATATTTTGCAAGTATAACTAAACCATTATATAGGAAAGACAAACGTGCGTTAATAATGTTTTTAAACATTGGGGAGGGAAGGTATAAATTTTTATCAAAATATTGAGCAGACAGGTGAATTTTTTTTAACAATCCTCACTTGGCCTCACCTTTTTCAAAATATATTTCGTTTTTTATTTCCTTTTTAGCTACTTTTTATATAAATTTTTAGTCATTAATGGTTAATAACAATTAAGATATTAAGAAAATCCCCTCTTCTTTATAAATAATTATGTGTAATAGATTTGAAAATTAGGTAATGTAATCATATTTTAATATATATTTAAATATTTCACTTAAGATGATCTAATAGTTATTAATAGTGTAATTGTGATGTAATGGGTTTAAATCGTTGTGGATAATAGGAACTATGATCATTATTAATCTTATATCATTATTTAGCATTTTAGAATTAATTTCTTAAAACAAATTTTTCTTCTAATTTAGTAATTATAATATAAGGGATGTGAACAGAACAACACAAGCCCTTCGAATATTTAATATTTTACTGAACCCAAACTCGAACTTTTTTTTAAAATTTATGGTTCAGGGTTCAAATAACTTTTTAAAAATATTAAATTTTTATCTATTTTAAAAAATATATTTAAGATAATAAACCATGCATTATTTAAAACATATAATATAATTTTTATTATATTTTAGAGTACTCCATTTTATGTAAAATAAAAGTAAGACCAAAGAAAAGAACATAATCACAAGGCAAATAGCTTTATTAAATGTAAATTTCAATGCACTGTCAAAATTAGGCATAAATAATGGATACTCGATATTGGAAGATATCTAATTCGCTTATATTCCAAAATGATAAATTATTATGGTAAGGGCTAATAAAAATCTGATTTTCAATTATTTTTACTAGATTCTATAATTCTAAATTTTTCTGGACCAAGAACCCTGAATACAATCTTTATTTTTAGAAGGTTAACAGCCCTTTATAATATAATAATATAAATAACATAAGAAAAACCCAGTTATTTAAGGATAAACAACACTTTAAAGTTGATGGGCCATCCCATTTCTTTTTTTCGTCAAAAAATCCACTGTCTTGATGTAAGCTCTCTCACTCGGAAAGCTTGAAGTTTATTGAGCGAGAAAATCCTTTGTAATCAGTGACAAGGCAGGATTGATAACGATTTTTTGCTTATCAATCTAATGTATTAGTGGAAGGTGATGCGATATGTTCATTGAGACAATCTTGGATCTAATCTCTCATAAGGTCTGGAAATTCACCTCTCTAAAAATTATAAAATAAATAATATTTTAAATTACTTTCTCAATTTGTGATTCAAACTAATAGAATACGGCTATGCATCCATATCATCAAGAGAAAATTCATAGACATTCGATTTATGTGATGAAGAACCAAAATTTTTTATAGAATAATTTAAATTTTTCCATATATTCCTCCTTACTATATTTAATTAAGGAGTATAGTTGCGACATAATTGTGCTTACATAGCTTTTATATTTTGCACATTTTTCAACATTTTATTGGCTGCATTTTTAATGGCATCATCATTCTGATTTATTATTTATTTAGCATCTCTAAGTGCATTATAAAGATTTTGGATTTCCATCAAATAAATCGAAGGTCTACAAATTTTCTCTTGATGATAGGGATACACAGCAGAAAGTAATTAAAAATAATTAATTAATTATAAATTTTAGGGAGGCATTTGAATTTCCTGTCCTTACGAGAGATGAGATTAAGAATTATCTCAATGAACAAGTAACATCACCTACTAGTAGTGGCGTAGCTAGGAATTTTTCTTAGAGAGCCTGGGTGGCTTCGCCCCCCAGATCCCCTTTAACGGGCCTTCGGCCGGGTTTATCTTACAAATCATAACCATATCTTCGATAATATATAATAAATATATTTTTAAAATGCATCAATAATATGTTATTATTTAGTAGATTATTCTCAATGATTTTATAATAATACTATCCAGAATAATTTCAATAGTAATATAATATCCTTCCACAAACATCAAAACCAGAAAAATATAAATATTAATGGTATTTATTTGATATAAAGTCACTTTTAAGTCTTTTGAACGTATAATCTAAAAAAAATTTTGCTCTGGGAGGGGTCCTAACCCAAAAACCACCTCCGTAGCTACACCACTGCTGCCTACTACTAATGCACTAGATTGATGGGGAAAAAATAGCGTTGTCCATAGTACCTTGTTGCTGATTACAAAGGTTCTTGCAACAAACTTAAAGCGTTCCGAGTGAGAGAGCAGTCAGCAAGGCAGTGGATTTTTTGATGAAAAAAAGAAATAAGATGGCACCATCAACTTTAAAACATTGTTTATACTCAAATAACTGGGATATGGATATAGGGCGCTAATGCATATTTTCTTATGTTATTTATAATATTATATTAAACATTTATTATTACTTAATTAGAAACAAAATATTTATTTTTAAATATATCCAGGCCGGGCCATATCTTTTAAAACCAAATATTTGAAATCGCCATTATTAGCTATAAAAATCAAAAATAAATAAAATATATTTAAAAAAAATCAGGGCCGGGCCGAAATTTTTTTTAAAAAATAATCGGGGCGGCCATACAAATGGTATCTCTGCAGGTCTCTGATATATATATATAAACGAATATAGAAAGTGAACAATTTGTTAAATTTCTTATTTTCGATCGAAACTTTTAATAAAAATCTTATTCTATATTTGAAATTCCTAACAGTAATAGCATTGCAAAATATGTATAATTGAGGCGAAAAATATTTTATACCCCTAAGCTATTTAAATTATTTTATGATAAAATGTGTTTTTAGGTAAAAATGAAAAATTTTTACACCACAATATTGATAGTTTCAAGTAAAAACATAAAATATTGAAAAAGAACAGAACAAATGTTATTATTATAATATACACTAGTTTAAAATATTCATCCTCTAGTCGACTCATGTTCCCGATTCAGGTTCAAAACTCGTGTTCACGGTCGACCTGAGTTGACGATTTACAAAAGTGTAATAAATTTGATTTTCGGTATGATAAAGGAGTAAACTTACATTTATTTCATTTGTAAAATTAACAACATTGTACAATATATAATTTTTTATCTTTTCGTCAGATTATGGAGAAGTAGATTGGGTTAATTAATGAGTTACTAATAGAGGGCAAATTAGATGGGGTATTTCAAAAATAATCTAATTTATGTTTACTTTTAAATCTTAAATATGGAGAAAATAATTTAATAACAATAAAGAAAAATACCTAATTTCGAATATCGCTATCGTGACTAATATAAATGAACGTAAATAAAAATATTCAGGAGTATTTATAACCCCCTAAATAAAAATTTAGGTGTAAAATATACCAGACCAAATCAAAAACTAGAATTAATAATAAAATTTGTAAAAAATTACTATATTTAAGTGTTATAGCATCTTTTTTTAGATAAAAATTTAACCAATGGGGATATATAAAATACAACCTACAAAAATCCTTTAACCCAATTATAGACTTTTAAAATAAAGTAATTATAATTAATTTTTTTTAAAAAAAGAAAAGCGTCTTAGTAAAGACACCTTACCTTCATCCTATGTGTAAAAGCAGCTTTACCAGCGTCGATGAGGTCCCTTATAGTAGCGTTAAGATCTTCCATCTCGCCCTGGTCAAAGAGTGACAACTGGGACACGAGGTCAGTGCCCATCTCACTCTCGAGTGATTTCTTTTGGTACTTCATGCTAGTCATAGTGGATTCGTGGTTAGTTTGAGATTTTTCCTTCAGTCGATATTTTTTTTTTGAATTCATACAAAAGGGGGATACAAATGAAGAGAAAGAGTAAGAGGAGTAATGGGGGTGGGTAATAAAAGACAAGATTATCACAAAAAGATAGCGAGTATGGGTATTAAAAAGGTTCCATGAGTTAAGATAATATTAGTGTGACCATTCGAATCTGTTCTAAACAGATAAAATATTAATTATTTTTCTTAGTTTTTAAATAATTATAATGAATGATGTATTAAATTTTTTCTAAAAAATGATTATTCGATTTGATTATTTAGTTAATTCAAAGAATCAGGAAAAAAAATCAAATATAGATTAGATTTCGAACTTTTTAAAGGTAAAATAAAATTCAAATTTGATATAAGAATAGAAGAATTATCTCTTATATGTAAAATCATATAAAATAATTTTAAAATGCATTTCAGACAAAGTGATATTTTTTAAATTGGCGGTACATTGGCCTATAAAGTAACCATCGACCATTGTTTCATTCTTTTGGCAACATCAACCTAGTCCTATCCTCGCTACAGATTATAGTCCTCAAGTCGACTGAGGATAGTTTAAATTTAATTTACTAAATTGTGACATAATCTTTTACCAAAAAGTAAATATAATTTAATAGCATGATCATAATCAAAAGAATACACCTTGCATGTTAGAAAAAAAATCAAATTGGGATCCTCTCTTAATTATTAATTTAAAGCTTTATATTAACTTTGAAAGAAATTGATTTTTCGATATTCTGGATCTCCTGTTTCATGAGTTTCATGTCTCCTTTCAATTTTTCGTAGACGTCTTTGAATTTACTATTCTTTATTTCCGTTTTTTGGATCTCGCTCAACACCTGGTTGATTTTACCTGTGAGTGATTAAATCAATAAATAATGTAAATAATTTCAATAAAATGGGGAAAAAAATAATAATAGAATATAAAGATTATTATTTTTTGAATCAATTTTGGAAATCAACGATTTCGTAAATTAGAGTGTTCAAACAATTGAGTACGAGATTTAAAGGGTCCCGTTTGTCCAAATTTATTTTAAATAAACTGGGCAATAGGGAGGCTAGACTAAAGCTTGACGAGGGATAGGGCTAATTAAATATGAGATGATTAGGGTTAAATTTTTTAATATGTCTAGTTTCATAAATATAAAAAGAGGTCACGTGAGTTAATTCCTCCTTCCTAAAAATGGGCCATATTTTGATTCTCAGATCAGTCTTAACAAAAACAATTATATCAAATGACAATCACCTCTTATTAAATAAGAAAAATCTTTACTTATCAGTATTTGAATAGTAAATTCATCATAAATACGTGCTAAACCAATACAATCAGTAAAAAAACCTAAATATTTATTTAAAAAAATGAATTCAATATTCAGATAATGCATTTATCAATGGATGTTTCCATAGGCTTACTTTAAATCATAATATAAATTAATATACATTCTTAAATAAAGAAAGATAAACCTTCGATATCGTTTATTTTGGTTTTATGATCCCCGAAAGCTGCCTCTTGTTCTTTGAGTTGATCCAACAATTCTGTTTTTCCTTTTTGCAATTCCAGCCTAGATTTCCTGGTGTCATAATAACCCCCCGTTAAGGCACCTCTCCTGCTAACCTGATCGCCTAATTCAAAGTATGAACAAAATATAATATTATTTTAAAAAATAATATAGTAACCTAGAAAGATATTGTATTTATTCATGAGACCTAAAGTCCTATAGGGCCGGCCCATTACCCAGAAAATTATCAATAAAATATTGGTCTGGCTCGAAAAGCATTAATACTATATCTTTTTCGTATTCTTTCTTTTTTGATTGATTGAATATCAATATCACAATTAAAGATGAATTTAAAAAATAAGAAGTTTCTATAAAAAATATCAGAAGGAAAAAATTTCATATTTTTAATAAATTGAATAAAATAAATAGTCATAAATTATCAGAGTTTATAACGGAATATTTAAATTAAACGCAAAACACTAGAATTATAAATAAAAAAAATTTTTTGAGTTTGAACATATATTTCTTAATTTCATTTTTTTAGGATCCAGTTTCTAAGATTGATCCATTTTTATTTAGCTATATATAAAATGTACTATTCCATTTTTTTAAATCCTCTTAAATTTTATGTCTTTTATATGATGTTCATATTCATGACAAATCATGCCGTAAAATACTTCTTTATTGCCTAATTTGGCTTCCCCCCCCCATTTTTAGTGAATTTTAAAAAATCTCAATAAGGTTATTTAGATTTATATAAATAATGACCTTCCAAGTAAATTGCGTAATGCAGCCAACAATCACATTATTATGGCAGAGTGAAATTTGCAGCCCACAAAATAGTTTTATTTTTTGGGAAGGTTTGGCTATAGGGATAAGGTTTTATATCTTTAGACAATTAGTAACAAGTACAAAAATGGAATACTTTAATTAATCTCGAGAAAATTTTTGAATCCCCTATCGTAAGAACAATTTATGGGTAAAAAATATCTATTGTTCTTATAAGTGAATACAAATCTCAATAATATATAGCAAAAAAATAAAAGTATCATAATAAATAACCATCTAAAGTTATGCAATCCAAATTTTGAGTTCTTGCCAGTTGGGTCGAGGTTTCCATGTTTCTACATATCAAAGTTCTTCCGAAGACATGTTTCATGGTAACACCAAATTTTTCTTTATCAAAATGCAACTTTTCTATCATCTGAATGCAATCCTTAACAACAAAAAATTAAAAAAATATATTAATTTAGCCAAATCTGATTTCATGCAATTAGTGAGATGTAAGTAATTTATATGATGATTGCTCTATATTAAAGGTCGGCACAGCCCGGACCAGTCCGAAGCCCAGCAAGAAAAAAAAGATTTTCAGACTGAATCGAAGTTTTGAAAATGACTTTAAAGCTGATGATGAAGCAAATTTATGTCGTTTTTCTTCAAAAAAATCAATCACGGGCCAGGTCCAACTGAAAATCCCGATACAAATTTCAATGGGCCAGTTTGGGCTGGGCTGCAGATCTCTACTCTAAATAGTAGAGTACTGCAGGGCTGGGCCGTTCGTAAAATTATGAGGTCCGAAAAATGTTAATGTTATATCCTTTCAATTCTTCCTCATTTTGCCTGATTAAATATCACAATTATAAAATGAATTTTATAAAAAAAAGATAAATTTTATAAAGAATCAAGAAGTGGGAATAATATTTAATTTTATTACATTAATTTGCCATAAATAGAATAAAATCAGGGAGGGATATGTAATGAAACGTTCAGGAAATGAAACTTGATAAAAATTATGGAAAGAAAATGGTGATTCCGGGAATGTTCCGAAAATTAATATTTAAAATGCGAATCTATTAACTAATTATAAATATTAGTGCTGTGAATTTTGAAGAAAAGGAACGTCATTCGTTACCTTCTTCTAGAAGTAACGAGTAACGGTAATGCGTTTTTTTTGAGTAAAGGTAACGCAAAACGTTACTTTATATTTTTTCTTAAAAAATATCAACAAAAAGATAAACATATTTTATTGTATTATAAATTACTTTTATTTTTTTTTAATTCTTAATATAAGTAATTTAAGCCGAGTTTTCATTTTTTTTTAAATTCTCGTTGTTAAATTCTCCGTCGAAATTAATATTCAATCAAAATTCAAAGTAAATGTTAAAAATGATGTTATAATTATTATATTTTATTTTAAGAATATTATGTCTATAGCACTTCTTCAGATGAAGATGATTTAACCCTTCTCTGGTCCCAATTTGAAACATATTTTAAACCAATAAAGAAAATCAATGGAAGTCTACACTTTGTAAATGTAAATTATATCCCAACACAAATATTTCAACTTCAATGTCCAGCAGTTCAAACTTAAAAAAGCATTTGAAGGTAAAAAGATGAATTTTACTTTAATAATAGAATAATATTCTTTCATAATATTTTGAAAGCTTAATCATGGAATTAAAATATAAGTAGGGCTGTGCCGATATTAGATATCGGATCGGCTCCGATATTTAGCGTTTTCCAAAAATATCGGATTGGGCCCATACCTGAAAACAACCGATCCGGTCTACTTTTCTTTTTTTGTTATTTTATGTTATGTATACTTATTTTACATTATTATAATATTTTCTAAATAATTTTTTTTTAAACAATGCAAATGCACAACACCCTCTAATTTTATTCTTTTTTAAAATAGATATAGTATTTTAAAAGTTTTTTTTATAAAAATAGAAAGGACACCCAAAAATTATTTTTAATCTTTTTAAATAATAACGCCAATTTTATTATTTTTACTTTAAATAAAAAAATTTTTTTAATATGGTATCTGAATTATGGAAATATTTTACAAAAGACAAAGATAATTTTGCAAAATGCGTTATCTGCGAAATCATCTGAGTTTTAGCTTCAATACGGTATAGATACTCTATATCGTAGAAGCTTATTGCCAGAAAATCGAGAGGCTCTTGTATATATTTTAAAAAAATCTAATATAATTTTATATATTAAATATATTATAATTCATATCAACATAAAATGGATATATTATCAAATGTATGTTTTTTTAATTATAGTCTTAATTGTAGAAATAAAAAACGCATAAATTGATTTTTTGCATAAAAAATATTGATTTCTTAATTACATTTGGTACAAAGGGTGGCGGTGAAAAATCAATATAAATATCGAATCGGTATCATTATAGGATCGGTTTTGAAGCAATATCGGATGGGATCGGTGAAAAATATGTGGATCGGCACAGCCCTAAATATAAGCAATTAATTTATACTACAGGCTGGGAAACAACATTAAAAACCCAGGATTAACAAAATATTGGTATTGGTTCAAAGTATTATATTGAGTTTTTTATATCTTCTATTTCTGACTATAATTGTTAATAAATTTAAAGAATAAAAAATAGTGATTTTAAAAAACTGTTTAAATAATATATATATATATATGAAATAGTGGCGTAGCCAGGATTTATACAATAACAAAATTTTACAGAGAATTTCATTATAAATTTTATTTATTATTAAAATACTATATATAACATCCCATTATTTAACCAGCTGTGTTGAGCACTAAGCGCTCTTGTTTGTCTGATCAATTTTAGAAATTAATTGTTGCTTAAAAATAAATAAAAAATTGGTATATAAAAAGATGTTATCTTATAATATATTTTTTTTGTATAATTCTATTTATATTATATTTTTTTTATAAAACGATCTTATATATTCTTTTTGTATAGTTTTATTTTATTATATATTGTTGGAAAAAAATAGATATTATCTTTGTATATATTTAATTTTTTTAAGTAACGAGTAGCCCGTTACATTTTTGAAAAGTCGGTAACGCGTTCATTTTTTCAGATGTAACGAGTAACGGTAACTCGTTTCTTTTTTGTAGTAACGTTTACAGCACTAATAAATATATTTATAATGGCTCATTCATAGATATTCGTTTTTCAATTCGCCTCATATATTATTATAATTTATTAATTACCCATTATTTAGTACTACAAAAACTTTTTTTTGAATCGAATTTAAAATTATTTTATTACAAAATTATACTTCAATAAATTTTGTTAAGTTAATGCTGAATAGGTGTTTTTGAAACTCAGATTTATATTTGCACCGCCGCATTCATATAAATGATAATTTTTAGAGAATGTCTTTTAATAAATGCTTAGAAGTAATTATTGATCTATTTATTACAAGGAAAAATATATAAATTTTATATACTATAAATATAGAACTAAAATTATTTTTTTTCGAGGAACGCATTCCGAAACGTTCTGAAACATATCCGAAACTTGTAGAGGATCGAAAACGGAACATAATTTTTTGGCGGGAGCGGGTAGAACAAGAACGCAAAAATGCTTTCGTTCCCAAGTCCCTTCTGATATAAAAAATAGGTAATAAAATAAACATTTTGAATGTGAGATTTCTTCTTTTTTTTGCAACCAGGCGTGGGCAAGATCGGGCTAGATTTTGCAAGTCTCTATTATAAAGTAAACCTAAAATATGTAGAAATCACCTTTGAGTTTTATGGCTACTAAAACTAAAACATATTCACTTCACCAAAATAAATCCAGGCAACCTTTTCATAGTGAATAAGGAAAACACATTTTAGTATCCACTATTTAATGGCAATTTATAATATGGGGCAATTTCCTGATTGATTTTGTTAGAAATAATTAATTTTATCAAAGTTTATTAAAAATATTATAATAACAGAGAATTATTTAAATAAGGAATTACAGAATTATTAGGGTACTCAATATCCCTGACTTCCAATTTGTTAAGAGGTAAAAAGGTAGCTTCACCAGGTAAGTTGTGCTTGTTCATCTCCATCAAAAGCTTCGTGCCTATCTTGTCTGTATCCACTACGTGATGAAATAGCCTGATAAAAAAATATATTAATATAGAAACTAAATAAATTTAACAAAATGTATAGAATTAATAGGTGCACTATTAAGGGTCCATATTATAAAAAGTTGTCCAGGATATCTTATGAAAGGCCACTGAAAATAAAGAAAACGAAATCGTTATTGACAGTTATTAAATAAAATAATCGAAGCATCGAAGATATTGTATCAGGATCCTTTTTGAAATGAGAATCGATACCGAGATACTTTCTTTAATGATCAGTACTTAGATTAGACTCCCGTAAGACCAGCCAGTGGCCCGCCCTTATCGTCACTAAAATATTGGTCTGGCTTGTAACTAAAACAATATATTAATTTTATATTTCAATTCTTTTTTCTCTCTAATTGAATATCCAAAATAAAAAATAAATATTAAAACAACCACTAAATCCTGATATTATATTAGGTAGTTTAAATTGGAAAATTAGTTTATCAATTTCATTTAAAATGGTGTAAATTTGGCAAGAACGAAATAAGGAGAGCAGTGAAAAAAATGAAGGCATCGGGTTTAACGAGGGTTGTATCAGAGATGTTTAAAGGTTCTGAAGACTTGGGGATTGAATGGTTAATGAATTTAGCTAATCAAATTGTCGCAGAAGGAACTATTCCCGAGGACTGGCTAAGAAGTATAATTATCTCAGTATACAAGGAGAAAGGTCATCCTTTAGATTGCGGGTCTTACAGAGCTATCAAACTTTTGAACATGCAATGAAGGTATTTGAGAGGGTGTTAGAGAAGCGAAGGGACTAAATTAAAATTGATGAAATGCAGTTTGGTTTTACAACAAGGAAAGGCACGACAGTGCGTTTGTTGATTTGGAGAAAGCCTTTGACAGGGTGTCATGCGAGGTTACTAGATGGGCCTTGAGAAAATCAGGTGTGGAGGAATGGTTGGTAATGGCAGTGATGGCAATGTATGTGGGAGCACAAACTGCAGTATGGACGGATGGAAATAGTAAATTGAAGTGAAGGTAAGGACTTCATCAAGGATCTGTGCTGAATTATTATTTTTCTAAGTAATGGATGTGGTGGCCAGAGAAATGCGTGTAGGACTTCCCTTGAAGCTATTATATACAGATGACCTTGTAATTGCAAAGAGTGAGGAAGAATTGAGGGATAAAATTCTATGGAAGCAAAGGGCCTGAAAATGAATGCAGGAAAGACAAAGGTGATGATTAGTGGGGAAAATCTAAAGATGGAGCAATCGGTAAGTGGCCTTGTGGTGTATGTGGGAAAGGAGTTGCTAGAAATTCAATCCAATGCACCAGATGCCAGAAATGGGTACATAATAGATGTGGCGGGAAAAAGGAAGTCTGATGTTAGCAAGAATGACCTTTTTGTAAAACGTGCATGACAGAGGTACATAATAATGATGTAGAAAAGGGTGGTCTGGATATTGGCAATGAGTTAACCCTAGAAAAAGTGGATAAGTTTTGTTATTTGGGTGATGTGCTAAACGCAGATGGGTAGATTCAGTCGTTGTTACAAGGGTTGGACAAGCTTGGAAGAAGTTCAGAGAGATGAGGTCTATTCTAACAAATAAAAAAGTCTCTCTAAAGTTAAAGGATAAAGTTAAGGTAAACTGTGAGGAGTTCTTTAGTAGAAAGTGGCGAAACATGGGCATGAAAGCGACTCACGAAGCCAAATTAGAAAGAACAGAGATGAGGATGATTAGATGAATGTGTAGGGTATCCCTGAGAGAAAGAAAAACTAGCAAGGAATTGCGAGCAAGATTGAGTATAGAATGGGAATACGACTAAATAGACTAAGATGGTTTGGGCATCTGGAACATATGACAAAAGATGACTGGGTAAAGAGAAGCACCATGATGGAAGTAGGAGGATTAAGACCTAGAGGAAGGCCCAAGATACGTGGACAAATGATGAGAAGCATGCATCTTACAGATATTGATGCACAGGATCGTCAAAAATGGAAAAGAAAATCAGAAATAAAACTGGCCTACCTGGGTAAATCTAGAAATCGCCATAAAACGGAGAAAAAGAAGATTTAAATAGAATAAAATTCGAGTAATTAATGAATATTTAAATAGAATTTAATTTATAATAAAGAAAAATATTAGTTAGAAAAATTTTTAGTTTTAAATATATAAGTTAATATTCATTTTAACAAAACTGTCCAGATTTAAATAGGGAATATCTGAGGCTAATATTAACCTTAACCCATAAGTTTCTGGGTTAAATTAAATTTAATGTTAACTGGAGTGTACACCTAAATTAAAATAGAGGTAAAAAAAACTATTTAGCTAAAATTTAATTTATATCAAAATTATCATTTTTGTTGAATTAAATATTATAATTTCTACTAGTGATCTGTTTCGAGCCTAATTTTTCAAGCCAGGCCCGGCCCTAATTTTATTTAAAAAGTTTTGCTGGCCCCACCCCAACCCTTTTTAAAAAATTTACCGGCCAGGCTCGAATTTATTTAAATAAAGAAATAAATTTTTATAATTACTCAAAATAAATTATATATGTTATGACGTCTAGTTTCTATAAATAAAAACTAATATTTTTATTTTACATAAAAAATTCAACATAAAATTTTAAAAAAGTTTCCAAAGTCCAACCCGGTCCGAATTTTTAAAAAAAATATTAGGCCCGGCCTAGCCCGAATCCGATTTCTTTTAAAAAAAAAAAGCCCGAGCCCAGCCCGCTACTTTTGCAGATTTCTAATTTCTATCCTTTGTTTTAATTTTTCACTGATTATTTTCTAAGTTTTTTAAATATATTGTTATATGAATCTAGGTAACAAATAAGGTAGTCAGTATTTAAAGCTAAGAAAATTTATATTCTCAAAAAATTGAATTTTTTTTGCAGAATTCATTTAATTTCATAAGATCTCGTTTTAGCAACCTCTTATTACGATAATCATTCATCTTATACCAAACTTAAAAGGCATTGTATGAATTTGGGTCGCAGCTGACTATTAAAAAATAAATAATCGTTTGTCATTTAAAAATCCAAATATATTTATCTCAGCAGGAGTCTACTCCTATCAAAGATGATAATATAATTAGTTTAATGTTTTCAGAAATCATAAACACAAAATGACATATTTTATTCCATGATTCGATCATCCTTTCTTGAAAGGATGGAAAATGCAAATTATTGCTTTTATTTCGATTTAATTTCCGTATAAGACTTTTTATCGTTCTTCGAAAAAGGTATCCATTAATACTATTTTATCCGTTGTTCATTATAATAACCTTGATATGGGCATGTGGCTAGCCTAATTGTTAATTGAATTTATTTTATATATCATAACTTCCTTTTCTATAATTATATCATATATACTTTATTTACAAATTTTATACCAGGCCCTCTTTTAGAGATATATTTATAAAATAAAATTTGAGTTAAAAATCAAGCTAGTAGATATATATTTTTTCCTTTAATATTTAATTAAAAATAGATTAAGAAATATAAAAAACATGTTCCAGAAAATTAGCTTAAAAAAAATTATAATAAAATGTTGATAAATCGCTTTTTAGCAATGCAGAATTTAGTCAATTACTATCACATCATTTTATTTATAATCAGTTGATTTGGTTGGTTTATTGTTTTTATCTTGAATTTCCACAATGTCTTAAATATGTTAGCTTGCAATCATGATCTTCCTAATAGTGGTCTTGTATTTTAGTAATGCCATTATGTTACAATTTTTTACTTTCACAATACCTATACGTAAAGATTTGGCCCGATTTCCTGAAATAATTCCTAGTTTTGTGCTTGTATCAAATTGCTTTGTAGTAGGAATTTTATTTATTACAACTGTTACTCTGTAAGCATCTTGTTTCCGATAGTTTGTATCACTTAATATAACTATAATCTCTTTGTATTATATTTGAAGTTTCATCCTCTTTCTTCTCATTATTTGGTATGGCATTAATATTTTCAATAGATTGGTCTTTATATAGTGTATTCCTATTAACGTTATCGTTAATATATTTATTGTTATAATTATAGCTTGTGATGGTCTCATGTCATACGATTTTTGTTTATTAAAATCATAGTTCTGCCATTTTATTACTATTATGTCTAAAATTAGAATTGTTATATTTTGGACAATTGTCGTAACATTTATTATAATTGTTGATTATTGTACTGCTGTGGATATCTATTGTAATTGTACTGTTGTGGACATCTATTGTAATTTTATTATTTATTATCATCTTATTTATTACTATTGTAATAAGGAAATTTAATTCTCCTTGATAATTATAATTTTGTTGATATGATTGTCTATAACGATATGTTTAATCATGTTGATATGTGTTTCTCTGTCTTCGATATTGTTGTTAATCATAATTGTATTAGTTTTACTTTGTCACGAATTTGAAAAATAGCATTGCCTTTTTTGTCTATATCATCTTCTTTTCTTTTATTGACATAAAATTTTCTAAATTGAACTCTTTTCTCTAACTAAAACTTTCATTTCTATTGAATTCCTTAATTTAATATTTTTTCTATGACCCTTTCATAGTCTTTAAATTGGAATTTTGTTGATAAATTGCATAGTCTTTCTAAACATTGTGTAAACGTTTCATCTTTCGATTGAGAACCATGGAAGAATATTTTGATTATATGTCAAGTGAAACCAATTACATAGAATAAGGTGCCTCAAACAACAGTTATAAAAAATAAAATTGTTATTAAAATGCAAGTTGATATAGGCATAAAACTAAAAATCCTTTTTACAGAATACAGATGAATCATTAGGCATAGTGAAAATCAAAATTTCAATTAAAAATCTATCTGATTATGCAGGAAGAAAAATTAATATATTGGGAACAGCGAGTTTCAATGTAACATACAATGGCGTCACTAAAAATATAGAAGCATTTATTACTGAAATTACAAGACCATTGGAAGATAATGATTGCAATTTTTCCCATTAAAAATATTGTGGAGATTAAATATAATTAGACATGTGCGCCGCCGGTCAAATACGCAGTCGCCAGTAATTTTTGACCACGCCGACGCCAAAAAAGTGTCGGCGCTCAACACGCCGCCGCCGATGTAAAAATTCGGCGGCGTGGTGGCGTGATACATATTTTTTATTATGCGATTTTATTTTTTAAATTAATAATTATTATTAGCTATAAAAACATTTGATTAACAATCCATATAATACAAGTTCGCTTACTTTGGACAGGTCTGTGACTAAGGCTAGTAATTTACAGAAAAGGTATTGAAATATTATTATATATTTTAATATAAGGATAATACAATATTTTCTTAATGCAATCTACAACTCACCATATAAAATTTATTTAAAGAAATTTTAATTAATGATTTTTATTTTATTGCCATTATAATACATACAAACAAAATGGATGCAGCATTGTGATAAACAAAAATCAAAATACAGTATATCCTTGCAAGCAAAACCTCCATTTGCATTAAAACAATTTGGATCCTTAATATTAAAAACTGACACAAATAAGAGAATCAGTGTTGCTGCAGATAAAGCCTTTTATAATATGCTTGCAAATTATAAATTTAGATATAATTTCATAATGAAATTAAAAATCATTCCCATAGCATCCCTTAAACAAAATATACTTGCTAAATTTGATCATAGATTTCCAATAACTGATCTTCAGGTAGTATTTTAAAATACATAAATTAGTTTTTTTACATTACTTCTCTTTGTTTTATTTTTTTACTTAGGTGTTAGAAGCACTTCTGGATACTCATTTTCTATCTATAAATAGAGCAAATGTTTAAACAAAAAAAATATTACTCCGGTGCAATTTTTATGTCAACACGCTACCTCTATGTTGCCTTGCACGGACGAATTAACCGAATGTGAAACGACGGAAGTTGCTTCAAAATTCGTTTATCAATCATTAGCTATAAAACATTCATCTATTCATAAAAATAATTTGGAATAACAAGACTATTTAACTAGTCTAGAAAAAGAGTATAATTCATTATTTTCACCTTATAATTTTGAGATAAAAGATATCTTAGATTTTTAAAAGATATGAGCAACGGATCTTCCTAAACTTTCAATATTAGTTAGAAAGGTCCTGTGCGTTTCAGCTATGAGCACACCCAGCGAGCGTGTATTTTCTCTAGCTGGGCTCACTCTGAACTCTAAAAGATCATTATTATATTCTATAAATCTAAATAAAAAAATATTTATACATGATAATTATAGTTATAAATATAATAAAGCATAAATTTTATTTTAAAAGTGTTTCCAATGAATTTAAAATTTAATTAAAAAAATTTAAGCGAGAAAAATATTTGACGCTGCTGCCGATTATTGTGGCGGCGTCTAACCCGATTCGCCGCCGCCAGCCGATTCTTTTAAAAAAAGAAACGCCGCCACCGATAATGCTGTCGGCGCACATGTCTAAATATAATTAATAACAATTCACCAAATTGATTATACAAAATGTAGGTAATAAAATCAAAGATGATATAGATAATATTAAAATTCAAGGAAAACAAAAGTGAAGTTTCAAGAAATTAGTCCTACAAATTCAATAACTTACCCTTAAAATATAAAAGATCGTTAGAAATTGACTCAAGAGAAAAAATTATATATAAAGATCAAAATACAATTAATTCTCAAGAAAGTGATGATTGCACAATTTAAAAAAAGAGAGGGGAAAGTCCTCAAATAATAATAGCAAATATAAACGTCACATGACCAGTTTCAATAAAGTCGAAACCTAATTCAATTCAAATTATCAAAACGATACGACGAAAATCAAAACTCAATAACAATTAACTCAACGATAATACAATAGAAAAACATTCTGGCAAAGAAGATTTTCGCAAAGAGAGGAAATAATACTGATTTTAATAGATTAAAATATAGTATAATTAAATATTAATTATCAAATATAAGATGGATGACATTAACTTATAATTTAACTTAACTTGTCATTCACACGAATTACAAGTATATGATATAATTATAGAAAAGGAAATTATGATGTATAAAATAAAAAATTAACTATCAGGTAGACGACATGTTTAATAGGTAATAACTTGATCATTAAAAGCAAACAAAATAATAGTTTCAATTTTGTTTAAGTTGTACAAACAAGTGAATTTTGTAAAGTTAAATGATTATTTTAAATAAACCTATTTCCAGCGGTTACTTCAACGGCAGTGTAAAAAGTCTTTTCACAACTAAAAAGTTCAATGAGAAGACCGTGGTACCCACTCACAATATCTGGTCTATTTTGTTGTTCGCCTATTGCTTGAAGCACTCTCCTAACACTGTCTATTCCCTTCAAGGTGGCCTTTAATTTTTTGAAGGATGAGAAAGAAAATATTAATGACTTGAAAGGGAGAAAGGAAGTCATCTAAAAATTATTTATATGTGATATAATAATGATAAATCGCCGGAATGGCCTAATGGGTTAGATGTATGCTTGGAAACAGAAGTACGAACAAGGACGCAGGTTCAATCCTGGTAAGAGCATAAAAACTTTGGAGTTTTTCTTCGATAACTGATGTGTAAAGACATATGATAGGATGAATTTCGGAGCTTAGAGATGACACCCCGGTCACCGGCAGGCCTGGACAGTCGGGTGCTAAGGATACCTGTCCAATAAACAAAATGAAGGAAACAAATAAAAATATGAATATGAAAGCTAGGGCGTTCCCTCCAAGCGACGCGCAGGGTGTAGACCTCCATCCTGTGAAAAGTAAAGTAAAGGTCAAAGCTAAGAAGACAAGATTAGCAAGTTTGAATATTGGGACGCTTAAAGGTAAGCCGAGAGAGTTGGGATCAATATTGAACAAGAGAAAAGTTGATATAGCGTGCATACAAGAGACAAAATGGAAAGGTCAGAAGAATTTAATGATTGGAGATGGGTATAAATTGTACTATAATGGAATTGTTAGCAATAGGAACGGTGTCGGCATCATCCTCAGTCAAGATCTAATCTCCTCAGTAGTAGAAGTCAACAGGATCTCTGATAGACTAATGAAGATAAAACTCTGCATTGGTCAATCAATACTACACATCCTATCAGTATATGCTCCTCAAACGGGTTGCAAGGAAGAAGAGAAAGATGACTTTAGAGCTATCCTTGATGAAGCTGTAATGGAAATCCCTAAGGATGACCTAGTAATGATTGGTGGTGACTTAAATGTGCATGTGGGTAAAGCAAGAGATAGCTACAAAAGGCATCATGGTGGTTTTGGATATGGATGGATTTACACATCTCAAATAAATCCACTCAAAACAAGATAAAACTGGAACCATGCATCAAATGGAGCAAATTAAAAACAATGACAGATGCCTTTGCAATCAATGCAAACATTGAAACAATAGATTCCGCACAAGTCAGTGAAAAAATGTGGACAGACCTTTCTTCCAGATTAATAGACACTGCCAAATCGACACTAGGCTTGACAAGGGGAGGCAACAAATCATACAAAACTATGGTGGTGGAATGAAGAGGTACAAACCACTATACAGGAGAAAAAACCCTTTATAAAATATGGCACAAATCCAAAAACCCAGATGACAAGACAAGATACAAAAAAACCAAGAGAATAGCTACAAAAGCGGTGGCTAGGGCCAAATCTATGGCATACGATAACATGTATGAAGAACTACATACCAAAGAAGGGCAAAATAAAATATACAGATTAGCCAAATAGCGAGAAAAGAACTCTAGGGATATAAATGGAGCTCCGAAAGTAATCAAAAATACAGATGGGAAATTGATAATAAAGAAAAAAGAAATAATGAATAGATGGAAAGAATATTTTCAGGAGCTTCTCAACTTTAATCCCCACATACTACATCTAGACGAACACTCTCCATGTCAAAACCTTGTACAACCTATAACAGAACAAGAAATAATCACATGCCTCAAGCATATGAAAAACAACAAAGCTAGGGGTCCAGACGATATTCCAATAGAAAGCCTTAAAGCACTAGGAGATGATGGAATACATCTTCTCACAAATCTATACAATAAAATACTTGGAAATGAAGAGGTTCCCCAAAAATGGAGGCAATCTAGTTCCTATCTTCAAAAATAAAGGGGATCCACACAATTGTCAAAATTATAGGGGCATAAAACTAATGTCACACTTTCTAAAACTATACGAAAAATAATAGAAAAAAGATTAAGAGACATAATCGAAATAGGAGAGACTCAGTATGGCTTTATGCCTGGAAGTTCAACAACTGATGCTATCCACGCAATTAGGCAAATAAGTGAAAAATACAGGGAAAAGAACAAAAAGCTACGTCTTTCTCGATCTAAAAAAGGCCTTCGATAGAATCCCAAGAAAACTTATCTGGTGGGCGCTACGCTACAAAATCCAAGGATGAAATGAAAGAAAAATTAGTGAGTTGGATAAATATCCTAGAAAAGCACGGATTAAAAGTAAATAAGAAAAGACGGAGTATATGGTGATAGGAGGAGATGAAACAGAGAGTATTGATATAAATGAATGGCAGATATCGGTAATTGAAAGCTGAAAATATTTGGGCTCCACTATCAAACAAATGGCACAATAGAAAAAGAGATAAAGAGTAAGATTAAACAAGGGTGGTTAAAGTGGAGATCTTTATCTGGAATGCTATTTGACAAAAGAATCCCACACAAATTAAAGGGAAAAATTTACAGTTCCATAGTACAACCAACTATTCTATATAGTTAGGAAACATGGCCAACCAAAGAATCAGACGAGAGAAGTCTACAAACTATGGAGATGAGAATGTTGAGGATGATTGCTGGGGTAACAAGAAAGGATAAAGTGCGCAGTACAAGAATACTAAGTAGTTTAAATGTAGTGCCCATTAAGACTAAGTTAATGGTAAACAGACTTAGGTGGTATGGGCACACAATGAGAAGGCCTATGAACTACATAGGAAATAAGGTTGAAAGTTTGGAAGTGATGGGCAAACGTAAAAGAGGAAGGATGGGGCTATAAAATTAGAGCCAATATAAAGAAGTATAAATTAGATAAAAGAGACTGTATGAATAACATAAAGTGGAGAGAGATGTTGAAGGAGTTTACCACCAGAAAAGGTGAAAGCTAAAGAGAAAAAAAATAAATGATATTGATAAGATGCGTCCAATTAGCCCTGTAAACTCAATTTTCCCCAAAGTCCAGTGTGAGCAGACATTTAAAAAATTTATTTCAGAGCCCAGCCCGATTTTTTAAAATTTACTTTTAGACCCAAGCCTGGTCTGAATTTTTAATGTTATTTCCAATTATGCTTTTATTTTAATATGGATTTATTTGAATAAAACTGACGCCTATTTTCTATTATATTTTTTTTAATTTTTATGGGCTTAATTTTTATCTTGTAATTATTTGTGTGGCTCTAATTTAACTGGTACGAAAAAATTAATACTGAATTGTATGCCACTCTAAATATACGGATTTCGTGTAACATGAATTTGGAATATATAATTTCATTTTTTTTATTATCCAATAAGTGCTTATAGATTTATGCTGAGTTATTTTATTTGTGTATGAGTAACGTTTTATCTAATCATTAATTTATTTGCAAAATTAAAAACCAGCATTTTTAAGGTTTTTTTAAAAAAATTATTATCGAAAATGTAATTAAAATGACTTTTCCAATTAGAGATCTAAGCATGCCTTCCTTTTTGCTAAGCTCCTCTTTTATTGACGATATGGATTGCTGCATAACATTTTCTTCCCTCCATAATTTACTGTCAAACAAAAAAAATATTTTAAAACAAATATTTCATAAATTGACATAAGGGCTTAATGTAGGCTCAGCCAATCAAGTCGTCATTATAATAATTATATATTTTTAGAAATTTTTTTTTCAGAAACTAACAATTGTGATCAAATTGTAACTTTATCTTAGAACTATTAATTATTAGACTGACATGGATGTTGATAAAAAAAAATAATTAATTTTTCTTTTGTTACTTATAATTTTTTTTTACAAATATTAAATTTAAATAAAACTTTCTTTCATTATGCATATTTTCTTTCTGTTGCCGCAAATCAAAGAGGATTTTGTTATGTTTCTCCATATTTTCATGGTAAACAGTAATCTCTTGATCCATTTCCTAATATTTTATAAAAAAATTATATTATAAAGCATGAATCGTCGTTTGATTATTATTTAAAAAAATTCTAACTCCATTTATGAGTCTATTTGAATCGGATTCTAAAATCTTTTTACTTAGGATTAATGGGGCTAAGTGAATTCAATCTTAAAGCGTTTAATGTGTATTCTGAAAAATACCAGGTCTTGAGACATGAGTTAATAATATTTAGGGCTCTTCTCAAAGTTAAGTCATTCTTTGGGCTGATACCTCGAGGCTAAAGTTCTCGGCTCAAAACCGATTTGTGATTTTACCTTTTTAAAATCCCATGTCATTAAAGCATAATTTTTAAAAATATTAAATAAGTGGCATGCTTTTTAAAATGGTCTTTTTATTAAAATTGATCCAACTGGACTTTGAACTCTATATCGTGTATTATAATCCATTAACTCTGCATTTTAAGACTAGCAATTTTCATGTCTCACTATGTTGTCGGAAAAGATTAACACACCCACATTAATAAAGTTGTTAATAACAATAAGATTCTTTAGATATTTTAGTTTTGATATGATGTATGATGGCCAAATTATATAAAAATAAATGAAGGTTAAAATATGTTTATCATAAATAAAAACAAATAAATGAAATCTGAAACGAACCATTAATCAGTTATTCCACAATGGAGAAAGAATATTAATAGACTTATCAAACCTTTAAATTTCCTTGTAATTTAATGAGTCTCTCATTCCCTTCAATCATTTCTTCCCGAAGTCTTTTCATGTGATCTTCCTTATCATTGATGGCTTGGTGTAAGGAACGTATTTCCCTGTTAATCCATTTATCCCTTTCCTCCCTACTCGTAAATTGATTGCCTCTGCCTTGTTTGGCAAGGAGTTCTTTTCTACGTTGTTCTTTAAAGCTTAGCCTTAAATTTTTTTTATAAAAAAGGAAAAAATTATTTAGCATTCCATGAGAAATCAATTTTAGGTCTGAGCCCATCATTTGTATATTGATAAACATTATTGTAATTAGTAACCCACTTTGATTAAAGATGCACGCGATACCTATAATTGGTATTTAGTAGATACTCTCGATTTTGAATAATACTCATGATTGATACTCAATAAAATGTAATTAACCATCATCATTTTTTTAAAAATAATTATTAAGACATAAATTGAAAAAAAATTTAAATCTAAAAATTTCTAAACCAAAAGAAAGGAATTTTTCTCTTATTTTTTTTAACTATTAATTAACTTACTTTTATAAATTCGTAAATGAATTATTTTAAAAAATATATATACAAAAATATAAATGATATTCCATTAATAGACATAGGAAGTGCCCTTCTGCATATTACTATCATATCAAAAGATCAGCTAAATTAAAATAATAAAAGGGCAAAAGGGACTTCAAAAGTAGGAAAAAAATGTGAGATTATAAGCCGATGCTTCACGTGCAACTCAACTAAACACTTAACTACGTGTGTTGCAGATTGTCCAGAAAGAGGTGCAGATGGGGCAAGTGGGATAAACAACGTGAGTGCCCGAAGACGAGTCCCATGGAAGTATGATGATGGAGACAGATGAAAGGAGTGGATCTATAGGAACAAAGTTAGGTACAATAACACTGTGTGACAAATTTCGACTTGATTTTTTGGGAGAAAATAAAATAAACATGTTTTAAGACAGTTTTTTATGCATATTCTAAATCCGCTGTCAGTTTTTTTCTAGCAAGTCAGGTTTTTTATTTATTTTAGGTTAGAATGGCCAAAAAAGTCATTTTTAGCACTTTTTGAAGGTTTATAACTTCGGTTCTAATGATACCTACAACTAAAAAAATATCTTAATTTCCGCAGCAAACCTTCCTTATTATTATTATACATTTTTTTATAAAATCCTTACTCAATTTTTAAACAACCTGTATTTTTTAAATTTACCTTTATTTATAAAATCTTTTTTAATATAGCTTACATTTAATATATTTATTTATTGTGGCTTTCGTTCTCTTCGCTACACTGCACACGGTAAGATTCTCAAACAATTTATTTTAAATGAAATAGTTATATTTCTCATATTTAAATAAATATATTATGCTAAGCTAACCTATCTCATATTTTACTTTTAATAAACCTTTTATCGGCCCGTTGTCCCACCCCCTCCTTCATTATTATATAGGATTTAACTTGTAATATATAATTTGAATTTAAAACAAATTAAACAATAACATAAAATTTATCGAATTTAAAAACATTTAATGGTAAATCTAAATATATTTCCGCGAATATGAAGTTGATGATTTATCTTCAAAAAAGATACTCCAGCAGTAGTCCGCCAACATATTTATACGATTCTTGCCGTGATAAAACTTTTCGAGATTTTCTTCTTCTGACACAGCACCTAAGTTTTCAGGAAAAAAATCTTTATGGGAATGAAGAAAATGGATTTTGAGGGACATTCGGCATCCCATTTCCTTATAATTTGTTAATAGGTCATCAATTTTCTTACGATAGTCGGCTGATTTATGATTGGCAAGGAACGATATGCATATCCATTTAAAAGATTCCCATGCTTTTAATTCAATGAGTAACAATTCATCTTCAAAAAAACTGTCCTTCCTGAGTTTTTTTATTTGAGGGCCCACTAAAATCCCCTCTTTTATTTTTGCTTGCGGAAAGCTTTGGGAAAAAATTTCTAAGGTATATCGTGGGGCCCTAGGACAATTTTTTGATAAAATTTTTGATTAGTCCTAATTTTATGTGCAACGGAGGCAAAAAAATCTTATTTTTAGAAACAAGCGGAATATTTACGCGATTTTTTTCAAGAACGTTGGGACATCCTTCCATTCAGATACTGTATAATGTTTTAGAGTTTCTCTGGAATTCCAGAGAAAAAGAAAACACGAATGCTTGGTGTAGCCTAACTGAAGGCCCGTCAGGATTGCGATCATTTTGAGATCGCAGCATATCTTAAATTCGTAAATGGAATAATTTATTTTTGACAATAAATATTTCATATGATTCATTTTACTGGTTGGAATAGGCGATGGGAATTGATGGCTTAGAATTTCCGTTATAAAGCAAAACTGCTTTCAAGCTGTTTTTGCTTGAATCGATGAACAAGCGCCATTCATCGGGCACCAATAATATTAAGTTGTAAAAAAGTTGACCTAGATTGTTGGAATAGTATAAAAAATTTTCGTAAGAGAATAAATTTTTAAACGATGCTCCACGGAATCGGTATGAAGTTCGAATTCGAACTCCATTTTTTTAATTTTTAAAATCATTAAGCCTTGAGGCTAAAAATTCTGACTTTCTTTTTGAAAGTTGTAAATTTCTGGTTATGTCATTTAGTTGCTCTTGTGACATAAATGGCGAATCCTCTTCGGGATGATACTCAAGATCAATATTGTCATTGTCCTGGCAACGTAATTTTTCCAGCTGCGAACTATTAAAAAAGGGACTATTGTATGCATATTATATTTTACCGGATAAACAACGAAATTTCAGGATAACGAATTTTCTTCTTATTTTTCTTGTTAAACCCAAATGTACTAATCGAGCAAAAATAACAATCCCACGAATGATTTCTTGCTACGTGCCAAAATGCAGGTTTCGAATAAGGCAAATATGACAGTTTTCCATTTACCCACGAATTAAAAGAATTATAACATGTTTTACATATGTAATCAGGGGCAAATGGTTTATCCAAATCGCAGAGTGGAATATTGTAATAAATTTCATAAATCCTTTGAATGATTGGAGAAATTGGACATTTTTGTGTGGGCAATATATAGCCCACACAGATGTAACAAAATTTAGAGACACACTTTAAACAAGGGGACCTCGGCATTTGTAGAATATTATATAAGGAGGGAATTTGAATAATATTTAAAATCCAATTTTAAAAAATAATTAATGAAAGAAATTAAATGTTTATGAAAAATTAAGCGCGAAAAAAAATAATTCTTCTCCTTTCTTCCTACTCGTTATTTGGCATTATTATTTATTGCCCATACTACGGGTTCAAGATACTCCATTGGATAATCATATATTATGATATAAATTGATTAAAAAAACAAATATTCTTAAATACATCTAAAAAAGATAAATATTTTTAAAAAAATTATTAATTATTGCATTTTAAAATAAATTTTGCTTCAAAAATGCTCAATTCAAAAAGAGTACAAATTGAAATAGTGGGTACAGATATCTGATTTTGATATAAATTGATCATAAATGCATAAAATATTACTAAATACAACTAAAAAAGTTAATATTACCTTAATTTTGCTTTAAAAATGCTTTATGCAGAGAAAATTTAATAAAAGTGTACAAATTAAAAAGTTCGAAAATATCTGTACCGACTTTTTTAATTTATAGATTTTGGTTGAATTTACATGGCATAGAGTACTTTTGAAACATAATTAGAATTAATATATAATCTTGCTCGAGCATATTTGAAGCAAAATTATATAAAATTTATCTTCTAAAGTTGATAATTTTGATAGTAATTTAAATTGAAAACTTAAGACCCCAAAAATAAATTCTTTACCATTTTTTTCAAATACCAATCGATAATAAAAATTAGTAAATTTATAAAGAAATTTAAGTTTAACACTATCACCAATTTTTAGGAATTTTTATTCGATACCTTTTAAAATATATCCGTATAAAGACCTAAATTTTACCATTTTTGAGATTTCGAAAAGTTGTCTTTCTACGGTAATATTTTTAAAATTTGACGTGTAGGGAAAATTTGGAAAACGGATTCTAACTCAGCGTCAAATTCTGCACCAAAACTTGTTTTTATTTTCTTCTCCCATTTTTCTTATCACAGTGTAATTAGAAATAATAATAATTATATAATAAATTTGAAATAATATAAATTGATTCTGTTCATGTCCTTGGCCCATTAAGGGTGGGAGTGATGCAGATTGTTGATATAATTTCATATTTTTTTAACATTACAATCAAAAACATTTTTTAAATATGGAATGTAAATATAGAAATTATCATCCTTATTGTTTTTCCAAGATTTTAAAATAAAATATATTTTATGAAAAACTACTCAGATATTGATTCGATCTTTATTTAAAGAAAACTAATAAGATAATTAAATCACACAGATATTGATTCTATTATTATTATTATTATTTGAAAAGAGACTAATAAAATAATGGCTGGGTGGTTCAACACTTTGGAATAGGTGAATTTAATAGACGAGGATGACTCTCCCTGTCCAGAGGCATACAACTGATGCTCAAAAATTAGCGTCGGTGTATAATCTTCTCACATTTTTTTCCTACTTTTGAAGTCCCTTTTATTATTTTAACACATCTTTTGATATGATAGTGATATGCAGAAAGATATTTCCTATGTTCATAATATAAATTTGTATTTTTCTATATAATTAATATTTAAAATTATAATAATTATTTTTATCCAACAAAAATTTTTTTTATTTTAACTACAAAAATTTTTAAATGGCAATTTTTTTAATATTTTTTACACATATAACCTGTTGTATTAGGAAAATTATTTAAATTTAAATTAACTTTGAAATTGTAACTTTTAAAATTGTATAAATTATCACTGTGGGATATTAAAGATAAAAGGTTATAAAATTTGAACATTAACTTTAAAGTATGTTGTGATTATGACTTTAGGTTGTTAAAGTTTAATTTGTTTTTATAGATATATATAGTCGTGTTTTTTTGTTAATTATTAGAGTTAGTTGTAATATTATGTAATAAAATAAATATTGAATAAAATACGTTACTAGTTTTCAGGTTGTAAATTTATCGAAACAAATGTCTTAAAATATAAAAAAATTCTCTTAAATAATAATTGCCTTCCGTATAATTTATTAAGGTGGCAGCGGAAAAAGTAGTATGATGAATAAAAAATTAATTATTTTATAATATTTCTATAAAAATATAAAATAAATAGAAATTTAGATATCATTGGTTGATGGAATTGATACAAATGGAAACTCATGGACAAAATATTATGGAAATGGATTCTTAAAGATCATATTTAATAAATTCTAAAACACGTAAGAGATATAAAACAAATATGACGTATAAATATAAAAACTTAAAGTAAATTAAAGTAAATTAAAATAAAATTAATCAATATGGACTATCCAAAATATGATAATGATGTAAATAAATATATAAATGAATTGGAGAAATTTTTTTTGATATATGAAGTTGAAAATAGTGCTAAGGTATTGCTTCAAAATCTTCCAGAAGGTCTATATTTGGAGATGGACGTATTAATGGAAGCAATAAGGTTTCCAACAGGGAGAGATGCAACTTTTGAGAAAACTATGACAATATTAAAATATTAATCTGGCTATAAGGCAGAAAAGGAGATAAAAGAAACACCTAAATTACATCATAATTATTTAAATGATAAAGTGCAAACCAAAAGTTATAGGAATAATTATAATAATCATTATGAGTGTAAAAATTGTTACGAAAGACATTACAATAAAAATGAATATAATAATTATGCGAGATTTAACAATAGAAATAATAATCATAATATCAATTACAATAAGTATCGATATAATAATGATAATAATTATAAATATAATAGTATAAAAAATAATGAAGTAAAAGTAAAAAAACCAATCAATGTAAAAATAGAAGTAAAAAAACCAATAGTGAAGGATAAGCCAATTGATGTAGAAATAGTATATAGTTCTTTATTTCGTAGTGATATTAATAGTAAGTCGTATGAAGAGTGGAAAACGACTAAAGAGACAATTTTGTAGAATTAACGCAGAAAAAGTAGACATTTATAAAACAAAAATTGTAGAAAAGTTAGAAATTAAAACTAAAAATTTTGAAATTACGTCGGTAAAAATATTAAAAAATGATATAGTAGAACGTTTATATATAGTTATATTAATCACATAGTAAAATTTGAAGAAATAATAATAAAAGAGAAAAAATGTGATAATATAAATAATTTAATTAATATTGATAAAGATTCTAGGAAATGCAAAAATTTTAAAAAAGTGAAAAATATTACGTGTAAAAGTAGGAATAATGTTAAAAGAAATAGGAGTAGTTTTAGGAGAAAGGATGACAAAATTATAATTGAACATATAAAAGAATTCTTACTGAAGGAGAGAATAAAATTGTTGAGAATAAAATTTATTTTTAAAAGTTTGAAATTTGATTTTAAGGAAATTTTTATAAAAAAATTTATTAAACTAAAGAATAAAGGAGTTAAATTAAAATTAAAATAAAAAGAATAAAAAAAAGTACGTAATATAAAATTTTAATTACTTCATGGATCAAAATTATTAATATAACATGTAAATTAATACTATAATATAAAAAATTTATACAATACTAAAACGCGATTCTATAATCAACATTTTATGATGATTCTTATAATCTTATATTCGATTGGATCGATTCTTATTATTCCTAATTATTCTTGATTGACTAATAATAATGATAATAATAACGATGGAGGGCAAACGAGCAATCAAACAAATAACAAAGAGACGAAACGATCATAACAAACCAACGTAATGAAAACAAGCCAATGATAAAACGTGACAAAAGCAAGACAACGATAAAAGATGAAATCAACAATTACTTATGCAACAATAAAAAATAGCGAAAATGACAAACTAATCGTACAACGGACGAACGAGTTTTAGAGGGGGAAGAAGTCAAATAAAATCGAAATCAAAATCAAGTTCGAGGTCAAGTTCAAAATCAAAAGGAACAAAATCGGAAATATTATCTGAGACCGAAAAAGATTTATCAAATATATATATAAATAAAATGAAATTTAGCTAAATCTGGGTAATGAACACTGAAAGATACATGGACGTAAACGGATAAAAATCTTAGTGACAACTTCAACATACGATACGATCGATAGATACAATGAAGGGGGAAGAGAGGGAAATGTTGTATTAGGAAAATTATTTAAATTTAAATTAACTTTGAAATTGTAACTTTTAAAATTGTATAAATTATCACTGTGGGATATTAAAGATAAAAGGTTATAAAATTTGAACATTAACTTTAAAGTATATTGTGATTATGACTTTAGGTTGTTAAAGTTTAATTTGTTTTTATAGATATATATAGTCGTGTTTTTTTGTTAATTATTAGAGTTAGTTGTAATATTATGTAATAAAATAAATATATAATAAAATACGTTACTAGTTTTCAAGTTGTAAATTTATCGAAACAAATGTCTTAAAATTCACTTAAATAATAATTGCCTTCCGTATAATTTATTATAACCATATCCCGAGAGAGGGGTAAAATCATTTTATTAAACAACACATTTTTTCTTACAATAAACGACATAAAAAAATTTAACATGAAAGAATAACTTTATTAATCATGTAAGTTAATGAATACATGCATAATTAACAACACACAATTTTTTAAAACTAAAAAAATAATTTTAAAATACGATATATGAATGAAGGGGTATATTAAATGATGACGTGTAACACATGAAAAGTTTAAAAGATCTCATCGATTTATATTAATTAAAATAACAAATCACATTACATTTATAAGTTCTTTCACAGAGGAGAAGAAAAATTTATAACATTTAGTTTTTTTTATAATATTTTCAGTCTTGTAAAATTTATAAATTCATAAAATATTTTCATGTAAAATTTTTATAAAAATAGCTATAAAGCACTCATTTTTTTAAACAATGAACGACGCATCATTGTTTTAACATAAATTTTTTTAAACTTTTTATAAGATACAGATAAAGAAATAAAGATAAATACATATTTTATACTCGTTGTACACAGTGTTATAAACAACTTTATTAAACATTTAAGTTAATTAAAAAATCACCTTTAATATATAATTTTTATTTAAATGTTCCACCACTATCATTTAGTTTAATTAAGAAAGGTTTCACCACGATCATTTAAGTTAAATAAGAAATGTTCCACAACGATTATTTAAGTTAATTAAGACAAGGATTTTTTTTATATATCTAATAATAATTTCACATTCATTATTATTCCCTTCTTTTAATGTGGTCATTATGATGGATCCCAGTGGTTCCATCCTCGAAAGCTATGCGATTCCATTTCGCACCCACATTTTCTGTTATACTACCTATTCATCATTTTTTGTTCATATTATCGAATAAACGGGCCTATATAATTTGTCCCACTGGAAATTTCGTCCCCTAATTGACAATTATTTTTGTATTTTTTATACGAATCATGTCTGTTTTTACAATTTCTTATCGCCGTTAACCATAATTTTAACTGACTTAAATCCTTGTCTTTCAAGGTATATCTTCCCAAATGGTAGGACCTCCCTTTAATGTAGGAAAGTACGAATAACGCAACTTAGTTATCTACAATTGTATTATCGATTACTTCAGGATTTGCACTGCCCGATTCTAATCTAGAAAAAATATCTGGCAAGTGATTCTCTTCCCCTTGCCGATATCTAATTTCCACATTGAAACTTCCCAAGAGTAACAACCAAAGTTGTAATCTCGGGGACAACATTAATTTTTTGTTATCTTTTTTAAACAAATGAATTAATGGCTTATGATCAGTATAAATCATGAATTTTTTACCAATTAAATATTCACGACCTTGTTTAGGCCAAAAATAGACACTAAGGCTTCCTATTCAATAATAAAATATCGAGTTTCCATTTGATATTCTTGAAAAAAAATAAAAAATGTTATTGCTATTTTTCCAATAAATATACATTATTATATTTTGGTATTCGAAAATATGCCAATGGAAGTTATAGATATAGTTGGGTAATGGCTAAATGTCGGCTAATTCGGCTCATTCTACAGGCGTGTGCCAGAGAAGATCGAATAATATGAAGGGGTTTTAATTTATATTAATTTCCTTCAAATTTGAACTGCTATATTTTTAAGAAAGCCCCCAAATCTAAAGTAATTATTTTCGGCTAAAAAATCGGTTTAGTCGACTAAAAATTGGCTCAAATATAATTATCGGTTAAAAAGAGTTGTACTTCAATAATTTTAGAGTAAAAATTTTTAAAAAAAATTTCCAAAATTAGTTCAAAAAATTTACATTCAAAAAACAAGATCGATTTTTAAAACAAAATTGCTCCTTTGGTTTTTAGGGTATATCTGAAAATTAATTATTTTTTAAAACTGTATTTGACATTGTTCCTCCCTTTGCCTTTGCTCATCGTATTTCGGGATTAATTCATTGAGAGCGGCTTGTTTGCTAGATATATTTTCTTCCAACTTTTGCATCTCCGTCTCCATTTGAGTCTATAATTAATTGTTTTATTAGGTTAGGATAAAAAAATTTTTTATCAATAATTATTTTTGCATCGACATGTAAAGCAAACAATGGTAAAGAGATGTCCTGTGTTAGACTATGGAGGACATCAAAGACGAGCTGAATAAAAGTGGTAAAGAAGAAAATAACCTCGCAAAATGGCGATGCTTTAGTGTGGAAAATAGATAAATTAAATCACAGGGCAACTAGCCTGCATTGTAAAAGCTATGGGCAATTCAATCGCTTTTTCAATAACTCGCGTGATTAGAATAAATTAATTTCACAAAAAATAGTCTTTTAGATACTTAATTTGTAGAAAGGCAAACGTCTGTCTGGAACGCCTTTCCAACGAAGATATAAAAAGACCTAAAAGATGGTTTAATATTTTTTTAAATTTAAAATTGTAAAATGGAATTGAAATTTGCCTAGCAATTTTTAAAAATATTTATATATTTTTTTATATAATATCTTCGCCACATCTTATAAATGGAAGAAGAGATTACTGATGATATTGATCTTATAAAAATAAAAGAAATAGATGAGGATCGAGGCCCTTTTATAAGACCCGACTTTAACTTAACCTCCATTGAATAATGGTTGAACAATCATACATTTGGGATTCCTAGACTAAAAATGGCTTAAAACCATAATCTGAAATAAAGAACTGACGTTTAACATCTTGCCCATTACAAAGAATAAAAAAACGGGTAAAGTAAAATATATTAAACATGCAATTTAAAAAAAATTAACCCATGCAAGTTTATCGCTCACGACTTCTTTCTCCAAATCAATTATAGTTAATTCCAAGTTAGTTTTGCGCTTCAAGAGTTCTGATTTTTCGTTTGTCAAAATTTCCCTTTCCTCTAGATAGGCTTCCATTTTTAATTTGTGGTTCCTCAATTGTTTGTCATATTTCTGGGTGTTGGAGGGGGGAGGGGGTGGAAGGTAGGTAAAATAAATAATATTCAAATTTTTGTCATTAAAAGAAATATAAAAATGGTCCAATATTCCATGAATTTTTTATTTGTTCAATGGATTTAGTCTCGTAAATTGTTTATGTGTTTAGTACTTTTCTCATTTATATGCATGATTTAATCTATCAAAAGCAAAGATGATGCAACCCAGGAGGCAAGGAAATCATTGCCTCCCTTTATTTAAAAAAATAAACAAGGTAAAATTTAATCAAAAATCTCTCTTCTTAATTAAAAGATTTTTTTTTAAAAAATAACTTGTATGAGAAATAGAGATATGCATCCAGTTCGGACTGGGTCGGGCCTAATATTTAAAAAAATTCGAGCCGGGCAAAGTCAGGCTTAAATTCTTGCAAAAAATAAGGTGCCAATATTTTTTTATAATAACAAAATATTTTCTATATTAAAATAAATTCGGGCCAAACCGAATGGACAAATATTTTTTTTAATTTCAGATCAGGCTTGGCCAGACTTAAAAATTAGGCCTGATGCAGATCACTAATAAGAAACATTTATTTTGGGAGGTTTTTTTAAAAAAAATAAAAGCTACATATTAAATAGAACTCTGCAAACTAAATTATTAGCTCAAGCCAGGTCCGAGTTTTTTTCGCCTAAGCCTGGTTCGATTTTTTACTTAAGGCCCAATCTTGGCCCAAAAATTTTAATTAAAAAATATAAATTACACATTGTATATGAATTATAAGGTAAAAATCATTTAACTGTTTTATCATTATCATAAATATATTCACATTTTTAATATTTTTTTAAAAATAATTCAAGTTTAAGCTCATCTTGATTCTTTTTATTTTAATATTTTAAAAATTCTTTGGGATCCTGGTGTTAACTTGCAGGGGTCTAATACAGAATACTTTTAGTGTGATTTTGAAATAATGGAAGTAAAAAGTTAATAGATAAATTTATATTGAAGCATTGATTTTATGCCATAAATAAAACTAATAAATTTTTTTCATAAAAAAATATATCCTTGAATAAATAAGCTATATATAACATTTAGATTAGCATGGTCCAGCCCATAAAAAAATTTGTTTAAAGGAAAAATCAAAGATATATTTGGAATATATATAAAATTTAAAGATTTTAAAAAGAAATCTGCAAAAGTGACAATAATTTTTTCAGCCTGGACTAGCTTGTAGGCTAAGCTTTTCAGATTTCTAATTATTAAAATAAGGCTCTTCAAAAATATTGATAGAAACCTTTTTTATCAGAGATGTACCAGACCCTAATTTTTCTAATAACATGTTTAGCAATATTAAACAGGTACTTAACAGAAGGACTAGAGAGAAGAGATCATAATTTTTTCAATCGTTATAATTATCAATAATTTTTTCAATCGTTATAATTATCATATATATTTATTGTAGCTTTGTTTATTAAAAAATTTCTGATATATTATCTTCCTGATAATTAATATGATTGAATCCAAATAAATTTGCTTAATCATTTGAGGATATTTTCGTTGTGATTGTAGATAGTTTTGTGTTAGGAATTTGTTTAAAATTCATAAATTTATTTCTTAATTTTCTATTTTGATCCCTCCTAATCCATTTCCAATTCAATTTGAAAACATTATAAGCAGTTGAAAATCTGCATTAAAGTTATTTTAAAATATATAATTTATTTTTAAAAAATTATAAACCTTTTATCAATGCCAATAAGACACTACAAGAGATTGGCAAGACTCTAAATCAGCAAAATAATTTAATTTTGAAGTGAACCTAGAAATAGTTAGGAAAAACACCCATATGAAGCTCACTTCCAAGATTTTTGCCAAACACTCCATAACCTCAAATTTATTCATTTAAAAATGTCATTAAGATTTTTTTAAAGCAATTTATGTAATGAAATTAAAGGAGTACAAAAGCTATATATATTATAATATTGGTAATTTAATGTGTAGCAGCACCACAATTAAAACCCAGGAGAAGATGAGCAAATTAACATAAATTTAAAAATTAGGAAATACTATTTTTTAAATTCAATAAATATTTTTGCAATTTAAAAAAAAAGTAAGGCTGTGGAAATATTAAATATCAACGTTTTTAAAAAATTTAATTAGATTAATATTATTTATTGTTTTTGCCATTTTATGATTTAAAGAGAAAATTTTTGCTCTAAAAATTTCAGACAACTTGAGCCATGAACTTTATCTATTTTTTAATTTATAAAAATTAGTAAAAATTCATAATTATATAAATAATACTTATATAAAAGTAAATATAAATTAATAGCGTAAAAGTTCACATTAAAATTGATGCAGCTACTCAAAAATGCTAGAATACATTCCCAATCTAATCAGATTTTTCAAATAAAAATTACCTTCAGTAATAGATTTAAATGGTGAGATTCAGAATCATCATGGATTCCATATCCCAATACAAGAGATATATATAAACTAGCTAGATCTAAATAGGGATAATCTGGACATAGAGTAGATTCAGTACATCTCTATTTTTAATAATTATCTAGGCAGATAAAATAAAATACACCATTTATAATATGAAAAATATTATCTAATGCTAGTTTTTATCAATTTTGTTTATGAAGTCAAAAAGGGTTTAACCATTTTTTGTAATCATATAAAATAGTAATAAATATTGGAGCCATGTAATGGTCAAAATTTTAAGCCTAGCCCATATTTTTTAATTTCTCAATAAATCCACTTTTTTTATAGATTTATAAATTTAAACTTTTTTAAAAAAAAATGTAATGCTGCACTTTATTTTGATACTAAATTTCAGAGTTGTTCAAGATATAAAATAGTGGTATCTATAACTAGATACTATTTTAGAGGTATCTATATCTGTTACTAGATACTTTAAAGATACATTGTGATATACCTATATTTAACACCTTTTTATATTAAAAATAAAAATATTTGAATGCAAAATCCATTTCATTTCATATGAGCATATAATTTAAATAAATTAAAATATTATAATAAAAAATATATATAAATTATTAATACTTAAAAATTTATGGCAGTGGCTAGGTGCCCCCATATAGATATTTTTAAGCTTATTAGATACATATATTGAAATTATGGGGGCAATAAGAAAAATAGATACTTTTAAGCTTATTAGATACATATATTGAAATTATGGGGGCAATAAGAAAAATAGATACTTTTAAACTTATTAGATACATATATTTAAATTAGGGCAATAAGAAAAATAGATACTTTTCATAAAATTTTTATTTAAAATCATAAAATTAATCTTTAAACATTTAACGACATGTTGTACAAAAATAATATTTTTTCCGTAGTTTTTTAATAATATTTTGACACCGAAAATACCATTTAAGACATATATCACACATGAATGAAAGATCATCATTTAACAATATATGACACTCATGACATAGCCATACTTCTGCTAGTATATTTTTATATAAAATATAAAATAATTCCCATGCTTCCTTCGTAAAATGTTTTTCAAGAATAGTAATATCCACATCATTATTTTCGATGCATCGCATATCGAATGATGTTTGAACTAACTAAGGCATCATCTTTGCAAATTAATACATTGTTTACAAATTTTTCTATTGCCTTTAATGTACATAACTTTTTTATAACCCACAAAATTTTTTCGATTTCTGATAGTAAGACATATGCCTTAGGTTTAATTTCTGAAAAAAATATATTAATATTTTATAAAAATATATTAATATTTTATAAAAATATATTAATATTTTATAAAAATATATTAATATTTTATAAAAATAAATTACTGATAAGCTTATTAGATGTATTTTGTATATTTTCCGAGGATTCCTGTAAAATGCGGTTATCTATATAAAAATATAGCCAATAAAAAATAAATATAAATACTTGAATTTATTTTATCTTTTAATAAGAAATCAATGAATTCTTTCTGCGAATTTGGTGGGTATGCTATCAAATAAAATAATGTAAATAATTTTATATAAAATAAAATACCGATTTCTATATCGGTACTTTCTATATTTTTAACAATTTTTAATAACATATTCTCACCTCTGGAGATTAATGATACTGGGATGATTATACATATATCCTTAGATAAATGTTCATGCGGGTTCCTTTCAAAAATGCTCTTGCCTTGTAGGCATATAATGGCTTTACGAGCTTCTTATAATTTAGATAAATACTGTCCTGAGTTATGTAGCAGAAGATGGACAAGAGCCTACTCTATATCTTGTGGTCAAGAAAATATATCAATGAGCCTATCTGATATTTCAATCAACAGTCATACTACAAAATATAATCCCAAAAATAAATTATCACAAAGTGACAAATATAATAAAATTTATCAAAAGCTAGTATCACAAGCTCAATACATATCACATCTACCACAAGATAAATTTGATTTCTTTGATAAACAATTTGACATTATTGAAGAATGTATTCAAGATGATCATTTATTCTTTGTGATACCATCTGAATTGACCTCCTCTCCAAATATTAAAGGTATTTTGAAATATATATAATATAATATATTTTTTCATTTTACTTTAATTATTTCAGACCTCGCTCATATCCCAACTAAATCTTCCTCAGATATGACTTCCTCTTCAAATGAGATAGGTTTTTTATATATATAATTTTTTTACATATTGTCATTTTAATTAGACCTCTTAGATGTCCCATCTAATCTTCCTTCCGATATGGCTATATCTCCATGTGAGATAGTTTTTTTTATATATATAATTTTTTTTATATAATATCATTTTAATTAGACCTCGCTGATGTCCCATCGAATCTTCCCTCCGATATGGCTATATCTCCATATGAGATAGGTTTTTTTTATATATTATCATTTTAATTAGACCTTGCTGATGTCCCATCTAATCTTCCCTCCGATATGGCTATATCTCCATGTGAGATAGTTTTTTTTATTTATATTAATTTTTTTTTATATATTATCATTTTAATTAGACCTCGCTGATGTCCCATCAATCCGATATGGCTATATCTTCATGTGAGATAGGTATTTTGAAATATATATTATTTTATATTTTTTCATTTTACTTTAATTATTTCAAACCTAGCTCAAATCCCAGCTAAATTTTCCTCAGATATGACTGCCTCTCCGAATGAGATAGGTTATTTTATATATATTAATTAATATATTATCATTTTAATTAGACCTTGCTGATGTCCCATCGAATCTTCCCTATGATATGGCTTCCTCTTCAAATAATATAAGTATTTTGAAATATATATATTATTTTATAATAATCTTTATTAAGATCCTCAAATTATGAACTTGATATAGAAGTATCCACAATTATCTTAAGTATTTTTTTCATTTATATTTATATATATTTATAAATCTCTATAGATCTAGATATGATCATTGATAGAACCAAACAACAAAAAGAGGAAGAATGTATATATTATTTGCAATTTGCACTATTAATTATATTTATAATATTTTCTTTTACTAATTTAGATAATGAAAATATGGAGATTAAATTAAAGAATATCAAATTGCCGGCTAGGATGAAAAGACAGGGAAGACATAAAAATTCTAATGGCTTATCAAGAAAATTTCACAAAAATAAAATTGTTAAAAATATAGAAAGTACCGATATAGAAAGCGGTATTTTATTTTATATAAAATTATTTACATTATTTTAATTGATAACATACCCACCAAATTCGCAGAAAGAATTCATTGATTTCTTATTAAAAGATAAAATAAATTCAAGTATTTATATTTATTTTTTATTGGCTATATTTTTTTATAGATAACCGCATTTTACAGGAGTCCTCGCAAAATATACAAGAAACATCTAATAAGCTTATCAGTAATTTATTTTTATAAAATATTAATATATTTTTATCAAAAATTAAACCCGGCTTATGTCTTACTATCTCAGAATGAAAAAATTTTGTGGATTATAAAAAAGTTATGTACAATAAAGGCTATAGAATATTTTGGAAACAATATATTAATTTGCAGCAATGATGTCTTAGTTCAAACATCATTCGATATGCGATGCATCGAAAATGTTGATGTAGATATTACTATACTTGAAAAATATTTTACAGAAGAAGCTTGGAAATTACTTTATATTTTATATAAAAATATACTAGCCGAAGCATGGGTATGTCATGGATGCCATATATTGTTAAATGATGTTCTTTCAGTCATGTGCGATATATGTCTGGTATCATTTTAGATGTCAAAATATTAATAAAAAACCACGAAAAAATATTATTTTTGTACAACATGTAGCTAAATGTTTATAATATTTATTTTATGATTTTAAATAAAAATTATGAATTTGACAGATTTTCATTATAAGTATCTAATAAGCTTAAAAGTATCAATTTTTCTTATTGCCCCACATTTTCATTATAAATATCTAATAAGCTTAAAAGTATCTATTTTTCTTTTAAAGTATCAATTTTTCTAATTTCTATCAATTTTTCTTTAAAAGTATCAATTTTTCTTATTTTTCCCAGAATTTGAAAATAAGTATCTAATAAGCTTAAAAGTATCAATTTTTCTTTAAAAGTATCAATTTTTCTTATTGCCCCTACATTTTTATTATAAGTATCTAATAAACTTAAAAGTATCAATTTTTCTTTATAAGTATCAACTTTTCTTATTGCCCCCACATTTTCATTATAAGTATGTAATAGGCTTAAAAGTACCAATTTTTCTTTAAAAGTATCAATTTTTCTTATTGCCCCTACATTTTCATTTCAAAGTATCAATTTTTCTTATTGCCCCCACATTTTCATTATAAGTATCTAATAAGCTTAAAAGTATCAATTTTTCTTATTGCCCCTACATTTTCATTATAATCTAATAAACTTAAAAGTATCAATTTTTCTTTAAAAGTATCTATTTTTCTTATTGCCCCCACATTTTCATTATAAGTATCTAATAAGCTTAAAAGTATCAATTTTTCTTATTCCCCCCAGAATTTGAATATAAGTATCTAATAAGCTAAAAAGTATCAATTTTTCTTATTGCCCCCAGATTTTAAATATATGTATCTAATAAGCTTAAAAGTTTGGGGGAACCTAGAAAAAATTCTAAGGTTCCCCCCTTTCTAGGTTCCCCCAAAAATTGGGGGTATCTAGAATTTTATCTAAGTTCCCCCAAAATATGGAGGAACCTAGAATTTTATCTAAGTTCCCCCAAAATATATGGGAATCTAGAATTTTTTCTAGGTACCCCCAATTTTTGGGGGCACCTAGCCACTGCTATAATTTATTATTAAAACTTATATATAAAATATTAGAGCTTGTATATAAATATAAAAATATATATAAATATTCATTAAATATTATTTTTTTTCCATTTAAATTTAGAGTTCAAGATTGTGAAGAATATTATCGAGATCCAATTTAGACTATATCTATCCATTTAGAAAGTATCTTTTAACATTTAACAACTTAGCTAAATTTATTATTTACAATTGCAACCTCCCTTCTCATAAAAATACCATTTAGAAAAAATTCCAAATCCTACCATCATAAGACATAAAAAATTTGTCCTCTGCAGTTTATCTCTTATTGATATGATAATATTTTAATAAAAATATTCACTTCAACTTCAGAACTTGCATTTTGTAAGATATCTCTCAATTTGTTAGCATTTGACCCACTTTCTTCCCTTTTACTTGAGAGCTCTTCTATTTGTCTTTTAGTATCACTTTATAAATATAAAAAATTATTATTAAATAAGAGTAATAATAAAAATAATTTGTTGAAATTTAATTGAAGTGATATAATAATTATTTAACTTTAGTTCATGATCATGAATTGTGTACTCCAGTGATCTTTTCAATTTGTCAAGCTTTTGATATTCTTTTAGTTCTTCTTTTTCCTCTTCCAATGTTTGTAGTCTTTCCTCAATGTATTTCAATAATTCTTCTATTTTTTCTCTCTTGCCCTCTGTTTCTTTAACTATTAATTTGCTTTCTTCTTTTCTTTCATCGTAGACTCTTGTACCTTTAAAAAATAAATATTGTATATAATTGATTTTCAATTTAAACTCTTTACCTGCTACTTCTTTCAATAATTTTAATCGTTGAGAATCTGGTGCAGTAGCCATTTGGTTAATTTTGCCTAATTATTTCAAAAATTATATATTTATTTCATATAATAAGGTTGAAAACAAATCAAAATATCAAGTGACCTTGTTTGACAATATAATATGGGTTGCTTCTAGAAAATCCAGCACTTTCAAGCAAATTCATAACATCTGTTTTTGTAACTATTTTCTTTTCTAAAAAATATTGATCTTTTTTTGTTCCTATAACTCTCCTTAAAGATATTTCATCTTTTTCAATCTAATTAATATATTTATAATAATATTTCTAAAGGTTATGATACTGGTAATCTATTATCAGAATTATCAAATATTATTTCAACATAGGCAGATATAACTCTGGGGCCTGATCCTTCATGAAGTAGAGCTTGTCTCTGCTCAGGCCTAAGATGACTAAATTCATCGCTCAAAACAAATTGAATAGCTTAATGTATAAACACTTTATTAATAAATATTTTAAATTAGATATACCATAAAAAAAGTTGCTTTTTCCAGATCCGTTTCTGCCTACTATCACATTGTGTTTGGAACTAAATGGTTCGATCAATGTTTGATCTCTATAACTTCTAAATCCTTGAATTATAACCTTAAAGGGTTGCTTATTATTATGTTTTATTCTATATTTTTACTTGTTTGATATACATCGCTTTTATAAAAAAAATTCAGCGCGAACATTAAAATTACACCAAAAATATATTGAGTGATATTTAATACATCAACATGTTACCCCATCATTGACATGCCATTTAACACCTCTCTTATGTAAATATAAACTTAATCATGCAATATTTTTATCGATCTAAGATATATTATCTTCCTTCTTAATATTATCTATAATATTCAACTTATATATTATATAAATGTTGTACTAAATAAAATAAGAGTTCCGTTATACTTTATTCAGATGCTTAATGAATTCATATTACACACTATTATTTCATACTGTTGCAGAGGCGGGCAGCGCACCATGTTGATTCTTGAGCATTGATTTGGATTTCCTTTTATGCTATTTAAATTTCCTATTTTAAATTTTCCTTTTTACTAATTATAATTTGGATTCACTTATTTGTATTTCTTTTTGTTTTTTTAAAAGTATCCGATCTTTCCCCTGATTGCCAAAAATTTTAGAATAGGCCTTCAGTGATAAAGAGGATGAACTGCATCAGGGTCCCGGCAGTATATATTGGGGGCTCATTCAGCTTGGGAATCAATAGTAAAAATCCAATATTAACAAAATATTGTATTGGTATTTAGTCTAAAATATTGGTATTGGTTTAAACAATATTTTCTATTTCTTGTATTGATATTGCTATTGGTATTGGTTTATATTGGTAACTATTGGTTTATATTGGTATTGGTTTAAATTCAAATTACTAATTAAAAGAATAGAAATAGTGATTATAAAACCCTTAATTTCTAATTTTAAATAAACATGGGAAAAAAATCATGATACCTTAAAATCAGGACTAAGAACCAACTCTCAAAATTTTACTGAATTCAAATTCTTTTTTTAAACTAGGAATTTATTAGGTGATGTGAATATAAAAAATTTTGATTTAATCATGTATTTTTTGTATCAACAATAATAAACATATTGATTTTGAACCATTTTATTTATCACAAAGAACATAGCAAAATAAGTAAACTAAAAATGTAACACAACTGTCTATTTATACAAAATATAATGCAAAATATAATGCAAAAGAATAATATAATTTTAATATAAGAAGAGGAAATAATTTTATGTATTTAAGAAGAATCTTGCATGCGCATCCAACTTTTTAGGCACAGGCAAGCTTGTATAGTATGCTCATCTAGTGAACAACGTTGGTCTGTTATAACATACCGTCCTTCTGAAAAAGCCCTTTCAGAGCTAGATGAGGTGGCCGAAATTGCTAGATAATCTCTGGCAATTTTTGATAATACTGGATATCTATTTTTATTTAATTTCCACCAATCTAATGGATTTGTATCATTGGAAATTGTGGCTTCATCTACGTATTTACTTATTTCTAAGTTGTTATTATTATGAGGTTTCACCTGATAAATTTTGTCATAAAAGGACAATTTTTTGTTATTTTGTGCTTCATTTGTAAGTTTCGCTGAATTGTTATTATTTATTTTATAAATATTGCATTCATTAGTAAGATATCCAATAAGAGTTTCCATATTATTATGCTTAAATAAATGACTTGTTAGTTTAAATCTTGGGTCAATCATTGTTGAAATAATAAAGAGGTGTTTATATTATAATTTTAGTATTTATTAAGTTTTATTAAGGCAAGCTGTCTTTAAAATAGCATTAGGATTATTATTCTAACTCTCCACATACTCAAAAATACTTGAATATAAAGGAATAATTTTTGAAATTATTGGAGTATTAGCTCATGAGGCCATCTCTGTAGCAAAATTAAATGGTTCCAGAAATTATCGGTATATTTCTATATTATTCCAGGCTAAGGCACTAATATAATTTTCTTGATTGGTATTTTGTAAATGATTGGTATATGTTGTCAAATAGGGTTTGAGGTGTGCATATTTTTTTTAATAGATATATCAATATTTATCAATCATTTTTGAATTTTCAAATAATATTTTAATAGGTAACACATAAAGTTTTGCTCTTTCAAGCATTTGGTATGTTAAATTCCAACGTGTTGGTATATCCAAAATTGGGTGAGGAAATATTAAGTGTGGATTTTTTTCAAGATATATTTTTTCGAGTTTATTAAATTTAAATATAGAAAGTTTAAAAATTTTTTAAAAATTTCTTATTTTTTTTAAAGTTGTATTTAAGGGTTCCAATGCAGCCATGACAGCCAAATGTATAATATGGCAAAAGCATTTGCACACATTTTTAAAATTATCTTTTTGTTTTAAAATTTTTAGAAAGGCTAAATTATTACTTGCATTGTCTAATGCAATGCAAAAAAATCAATTTCAAATTTTACTTTTAATACAGAATTAAAAATATTAATAGAATTATGTGCTGATTTAAAAGGAATAAAATCTAATAAATAATTATTTAATTTAAAATCATTATCAATATAATGAATTGTTATGCCTAAAGGGTATTTTATTTGGAGAGGACCAAATGTCCATTGTTAAGGAAAATTTAGATGTAATGTTAGAAAGTACAGATTTTAAATTGATAAAAGAACTATGATAATGTTTCATAATTTCTATTTTTAGTGTTTTTCTAGAAACTAATGTTAGTGAAGGGTTACAATATGCTATTAAATTTTTAAAAGTGATTTCCTCAACTATTGAAAAGGCTAAATTATTTTGAATGAAAAAGTTTATTAAATTATTTAAATTAGCTTTATTATTTATATTATTAAGTAAAAATGATTTTATTGTCTTAATTTTTTTACTGATAATATTTATTTGCTCACATTTCTTATATAATGTTGGGTGGATGGATTTAAGATGTGTCCATAATCCTGAGTTCCAAAATTAGGAAGTGATATTTTTTTTTTACATTTATTACAAATTGCCTTTTTTTTATTATCACAAGTAGAATAAAATTCCCAGATTTTTGCTGAATTTCGTCTTTTATTAGATATTGATAATTCTTCTTGTTCCTTATCGCTATTATTATTAGTACCAACAGCATCTATATTTATTAACTCTATTTGGTCTTCATTTATTATAATATCCTAAATAAATAGATAAAATTGATAGATATCATGTAAAAAATTTACTTCGATAATAAAAATAAACTATAATTATAAATAACAGAAATATTGATATCACAGTAGTATTTGGAAGAAATAACAGATGTAATCAGTTTTTGCAATGAAAGTAAAAAAAATACCACGTTATAATTATCCACGATAAACCCAAATAATTATGTTATTTTTAATATTGGTATTGGTTAAAATTGTATTTAAACAATATATCAAAACCAATATATTTAGGTAATTGGTATTGGTATTGGTTGTAAAAGCAATACCAATATTTAAATATATATTGGTTTATATTGGTACTGTGAACCAATAGGTATTGGTCCCACCCCTAGAGGCAACCCCTCTCTACTCCCTAATGCTTATACACCAAAAAATAATTTTGCATCCTTCCGCGATACTCGTTAATTTTATATCAATAATTTGAGAGATTATTTTATTTGTATGAGTATTTGCGTGTTGCATTCAATATGCTTGTTTAGGGTATAAAAAATACTAACATTATAAGTTTTTTACAATTATGTATATAAGCTATTAGATTGGTAATTCATTCAATAAATGCATTTAAAAGTATCCATACATAGGAATCCACGGTATCGCTATTTGTCGTTTGCACATAGACAGAGTTGGGCAAATTTTCAGAAAATTGTATTCGGATACAGATACTTTATAAAATTTTGTATTTAAGATACAAGATACTTTAGAAAGATTTCAATAAGATATAAGATACAAGATACCTGTATTTTTTTTAAAAAAAAATATCTAAGATACAAGAGACTTTTTTAAAAACCTTTAAATAGTCAAAGTCAAAATGTATAAAGCTTTATTTTCTTATCTATTATATAAATTTATAAAAAAATATTTAAAATAAATTGTAGAAAATAACAAATTTATTATAAAAGATAATGCGATATTCCATTTAATAATTATTGTGTTATATTTAATAAATATTTCTTTTATATATTTATAACTATTTAACATATTTATACTCCGCCTGTCATCTTTCATATAATTTAGGACCTCTATTTCAATATTATTTATTGAATTATTAGAATTGGATGTGGTACTTTTAAAGCAAAAGTAATCATCATCTTCATCAATTGAAGATTTTGTTGAAGTATTCATTTCAATATTATTTTTAAAAACAATTAAAACTTCATGTAATAACAAATCCTGAAGGTATTTTTTTTCTTTTTCACCATCAATACAACGATTTTTAAAATAGGGATGAGAAATAGTTGCCCAAAATGCACTTTTAAAATTGTTATCAAAATCATATATATTTTTAAATCTTTTATTTAAATAATTTTCTATGGCAACAGCTAGTGGTTTGCAAAATTGTAGATTGGTTTGAATTAAATTTGTAATTTTTTTTAACGACATTTAAAATTGGAGCTGATTCTCCATAATAGCAGTTGATTTCACTTTGTATTTTGTCAATCGCTATAGCCAATGGGGCCATTATATTGCAATATTCTTCTAAATATTGAATTTCAATATCTCTTAATTTAGGAAATTCTAATTTTTGACATAATTTAGGAAGTTCGCCTTTAAATTTTAATAAACTATGAAGACTATCATACAAACTATTCCATCTAATGCAACAAGGTGTAACTAATTGTTTTCCTAAAACTGCTTTGATAAGTTCTGCAGTTTTAGGCCTATTATTTGCATTCCATAGCTTACATTTAGCTATTGCAGGATGATGAATTTTAGAAATGTTAGGAGAATCCTTAATAGCTCTCTCGACATCTGTTGTGGCAATTAGACTTATCGTATGGCACATAGTTGAGACAATGTTATTGAGGCTTCTTTAGACCCTTAAATAAACAGATAAATAATTTTATTTGAATAAAATTTTTTACTAAATTTACAATATCATAATAAATTTTAAAGAAGTATTAAATAATACTTTCAATGAATTCGAATTCTATACATTCATCATCATTGATCTCAAAGTCATTCTCTACAGCTTCCATAGAATATCCAAACTCCTTGAAAGCTTTCTTAAAGTTAGAGCCGTTATCTGTAACAGTTGCTATAATTTTTTCGTCAATACCAAAGTCACGATGAATTTCTTTATTATGATCATCTTGAAGTACTTCAAAAAATTTGCCATTAAGTATGCTTAGTTTAAATTTATTGTTATAATTTTCGGTTGAAGAATCATCTGAAGACGAAGATAAACATATTATTCTATTTTCTTCTTCCATAATTTTAAAATAGACAGATATAAAACGATTCAAACATGGTAGTTCTAATTGTTAGCAAATTGCTAAATGACGACCAACGTCATATATCAAAAATTATCTTAAAATATCTAAATTTTGATTAAATTTTTCATTTAAATCTTAAAACAATATCATTTTAAATGTTAATACTATTTAAATTAACCAATATAAATTTTTTTTAAAGTATCTGTATCTATTAGAATACAAAGTTGGTTAAGATACAAATACTTTTAAATAATATGTATCTTAGATACTGGATACAAGATACTTTCCAAAATTTTAAAAAAGATACAAATATCCGCGATACTGCCCAACCCTGCACATAGATTAAATGACCTTTAATGTACATTCAAAATAAGACATTTAATCGACATCCAAATCTTAAAATGGTTCTACAGATTTTTATGCGTAGATACTTTATGAAACGCCAATCTAGTAGTATATATATATATATAATATCATTAGTTTTAATATCAATCAGTTTAATACAGGCGTATACGCAGGAATTTGGTCCTATAAAAAAATTATGTATATAAACCTGCATATAAATCTATGAAATAAATGTGAATTAAAAAATATTAAATAGTTTTAAATGGCGGCTTTGAAAACTATAAAATAAATGTGAATTATAAAATATAAAGTGAATATAACCACCATATGAATCCCTTAAATGGCCCAAAAAATAAATTTGAATTTTTTGAGCCAATATATTAAGTATAAAAAATTTAAATGTTGGAAATATAAATTAATACACAAAAAGTTTCTTAGGAATTTGTATTTTATATGTTTTGAGCTAATTTTTCAATTATCTCATCCTTGCTTGATGTTAAATGCCTATGAATATTCAAAAGATCCAAACCATTCAATCTACTTTCAGAAGTTTTACTTCATAGGTATGTTTTTCAGAGACTTGAAGGTCCGGCCAGAAAGAAAGAAAGAAAGAAAGAAAGAAAGAAAGAATTTTTAAATATGCCTGAGCCGGGTCCAAATTTTTTTAAAAAAGCTGGGTCTGAAAATTTATTTTAAAAAAAACCCGGGCCGGGCCAAAAAATATTTTGAAAAAAAAATCCGGCACGTGCCCTGCAAATGGTACCTCTGCAGAGCTCTGTTATTCCTCTTAAAAAGAGAATGTTCTCTCATTAGTTACTAATGGGACGAGTTGCTTATATATATATATAACCAATTTAATACATTGAGAATATAATCTAAAATGTGTTTGAAATAATGCAAAGCATCCATAGCATTTTTTAAGACTCAATTATAGTCTTATTTTTTATTCATAGTTATACAGCTAATAAGGCATCATAAGATACTTTAACATCTTCATGATAAAAATTTAACAAATTTTTTTTTTCTATCACCATTTGAAAAAGGTTGGGAAGGCTTTTGTGGAAGTTCTACAGATTGGTAAGTGCTGCATGATGAATTAAAAACCATTCATTTATTTGGGTTATAAATGTATCTAAGAGATGGGACTTTTGTTTTATATTACTCTTCTACTGATCCTTTATTAATGTTTTGACGATGAGCTTGCTAGCTGCAAGTCGAGGGGGGCAAATATTAAACACGTATAGCTCTGCTTTTGGCTCAACAATAACATATAAAATATGAAATTTCATCAACATTAGCTCTAATTTCCTTGAGTTCTAATAAAATGGTCTCCGCTATTCTCATCTTCTTAATCAAGTCAATGTCATGTTTTTGAAAAGTATTACATAAAATAGTTGTATAATTAAATAATACATTTTAATGAGAAAAAAAATTTGGATAAGTATTGAACCCAATAATTTTCTTGCTTCTGAGGAAATATTTCTTTCAAATCAAACTATTATGATATTTCAGTAATAACATTAATAATCGGCTCTTCTAACTCCATAAAAGCTGTTACCGTTTGATGGCGGAGACTCGATCTCGTTGGACAAGCTTGCAATTTTAATTTCTTTCTCCCTGTTAAAACAAGGAGTTTCAGAGATAATTATTATTTGACTAGAAATTTAGATAAATATTACGCCACTAATATTTGAAAATAATAGGTAAATATTACGCCAAGGAAAACTTGAAATCGAAATTAATTGATACAATAACTTAGTAGATGAATGTGATAAATAAATGTAATTATATATATATATGAGATAGAAATAAATATTAACAAATATAAATTAATATTAACAATAATATTAAAAATATAATCCGGCATCTGCACGGTTCTTTTTACTCCTTCAAAAAATTATTATATTGGTTCGATTACGGTTACGGTTCTGATATTTATAACGGTTTATAATGGTTTAACGGTTCGGTATGGTTCACTCCGGATCCCTGAAAAAACTAATATTTTAATTTTCATGAGTAGTATAGCTTTTAACTTAATTATTATCTTATCTAGGGAAACAACATAAGCTGAAATATGGGCAATAGCTTTTAAAAATGTTAAAGAATAGATAATCCATAATTCGGAACACATATCTGAAATTTTTATATCTTCATATTTCTTTGAGAGGTAGGGTGTTGTCCCCATTATGACTTGAAGATATAGGGCCTTATGTTTTTGCAAATTTTTTTGAATCCTATCTAAAAATTTCTAAAGCGTTGGGTGAGAATATTTGTATAAGGATTGAATTCAATAATGCCACCCTTCAACACAATTTGTTGTTCGGGCGATACCTTCTAACGTCGAATTGTTTTTGTTCCATAATCTTACATTATAGAAAGGAGCTGAAAAATAATTTCGTTGCTTTATAAATA